GTTGGCGCAATTATTAGAAAATGGAAGAAGTTCAAGATGACGGTCAATCACCCTCGGTCTGGGGCTCCATGCAAGATCTCACCTTGCGGGGCATCAATGATCATGAGGAAGGTGAGGGATCAGCCCAGAACTATACGGCAGGACCTGGTCAATGACCTGAAGAGAGCTGGGACCACAGTCTCAAAGAAAACCATTAGTAACACACTACGCCGTCATGGATTAAAACGCAAGGTCCCCCTGCTCAAGCCAGCGCATGTCCAGGCCCGTCTGAAGTTTGCCAATGACCATGTGGATGATCCAGAGGAGGAATGGGAGAAGGTCATGGGGTCTGATGAGACAAAAATAGAGGTTTTTGGTCTAAACTCCACTCGCCGTGTTTGGAGGAAGAAGATGGATGAGTACAACCCCAAGAACACCATTCCAACCGTGAAGCATGGAGGTGGAAACATCATTCTTTGGGGATGCTTTTCTGCAAAGGGGACAGGACGACTGCACCGTATTGAGGGGAGGATGGATGGGACCATGTATTGCGAGATCTTGGCCAACAACCTCCTTCCCTCAGTAAGAGCATTGAAGATGGGTCGTGGCTGGGTCTTCCAGCATGACAACGACCCGAAACACACAGCCAGGGCAACTAAGGAGTGGCTCCGTAAGAAGCATCTCAAGGTCCTGGAGTGACCTAGCAAGTCTCCAGACCTGAACCCAATAGAAAATCTTTGAAGGGAGCTAAAAGTCCGTATTGCCCAGCGACAGCCCCGAAACCTGAAGGATCTGGAGAAGGTCTGTATGGAGGAGTGGGCCAAAATCCCTGCTGCAGTGTGTGCAAACCTGGTCAAGACCTACAGGAAACGTATGATCTCTGTAATTGCAAACAAAGGTTTCTGTACCAAATATTAAGTTCTGCTTTTCTGATGTATCAAATACTTATGTCATGCAATAAAATGCTCCCCACTGTATGTAGATACATGATTTATTGGTTTACACAGGGAATGCTCCGTTCTAGTAGGGTATGTATGCCTGAACAAAGTGTTTAGTATTGCTAAGCATCAGGGAGAGGTTTGGCTCAGTCTTCACTGATTGGTTGACTGGAATGTGAGTTATGCAGGGCTGAGCGTCTGATAGGCTGGGTCTGGATTTCAGAGGCAAAGACCTTGAGCTATTTTCATGTCAAAATCTTATTGACACCTCAATTCTGATTTATTACATCCTATGTGTTGTGATAATTGCTTTGTTTGCTCTATATCCTGTTAGTACATGTGCCTTGCGATCGTGATACTGTATATAGGCCTAAAGGCCAAGACAATAAGAAGACACAGTGGCAGAATAAATTCAACCACACCTTTGTTTTATCACAAAACCAGATAGCAACCTCTGTCCAGTGAAGTCCACAAAGCATATTGCATGTACAGTAACAGACAGTTACATGACCTACAGCATGGTCAAGCTAGTTAATGTTTCCGACATTTTCGGACCACTAAACAACTATTGATTTAAAACAGAGTTACCGCAAGTCGCAAAGAAAACAGGAGCTGCCTCCTCTATTCCAGCACCATTTCAACTTTAACATTTCAACATCATCAAATCACCTCTGCTTAGTCTAATACAGTGACAACTAAAAAATACAAAAAACTGTTTAGTCCAATCAACGTAAGCTAAATATGTGGCTGTCCATGGTGCTGATGTCTGTGTGTGCGTGCGCATTCGTGCAAGTAGAAAAACATGTTGACTCACCCTACTTGTAGAGAAACGCCAATGCCATCCTCCTCTCTTTCATGTTGACGAAACGGTCTATCGCTCTGTCATACAGTACACTCTACCTGGCTAAAATGCTTGCTCGCTAGCCTAACTTCCATTCATGGGCAACGTTAGCTAGTTAATATTAGCCTTCTACATCTAGCTACATATTGAACTTCCATCCTCTCAGGCCAGGGGCACAACAATGTATGAGTTAATGGTAGGATCAGAATCGCCGTTATAATCATTGGCCAGTACCGGAGAATTAAGTAAAACCACAAGTCCAAATCTCGATCTCCATCCATGGCTAACTTAGGAAAGGGCCAATTTTAGCTAGTTGGCTAGCCACCGGAGGACAACAACACAATACGATGCAACATTTCAAGTTTTTCTGTCAATGACATATGCTCTCAATGGGATTTGATAGGAGTGACGCCAAATCCAAGATGGCTTCCTTTGACACTTTTTTGGTGCGCCAGGACCATTCACAGTTGAGCTCACTCAGTTTAGCTCAACGCTGATTGGCTAATGTTTTATACTTTTTTTGTCAAGGGAGGCCAGATGCTCGCTGGCTTCCCTTGCCTTCAATGCTATGGGCAGCAACAATGTAATACTTGTTTGGACCAGACAGCATCAGATACAGTGCATTCGGAAAGTATTCAGACCCCTTCACCTTTTCCACATTTTGTTACGTTACAACCTTATTCTAAAATTGATTAAATGCAAATGTATAAAAAAAAAAAAAAAAAAAGATTCCTTATTTACATAAGTATTCCAACCCTTTGCTATGAGACTCGAAATTGAGCTCAGGTGCACCCTGTTTCCATTGATCATCCTTGAGATGTTTCTACAACTTGATTGGAGTCCACCTGTGGTAAATTCAATTGATTGGACATGATTTGAAAAGGCACACACCTGTCTATATAAGGGTCCCACAGTTGACAGTGCATGTCGAAGCAAAAACCAAGTCATGCGGTCGAAGGAATTGTCCGTAGAGCTCAGAGACAGGATTGTGTCGAGGCACAGATATGGGGAAGGGTACCAAAAAATGTCTGCAGCATTAAAGGTCCCCAAGAACACAGTGGCCTCCATCATTCTTAAATTCCTAGAGCTGGCCACCCGGCCAAACTGAGCAAACGCAGCATCATGCTGTGGAGATGTTTTTCAGCGGCAGTGACTGGGAGACTAGTCAGGATCGAGGGAAAGATGAATGGAGCAAAGTACAGAGAGATCCTTGATGAAAACCTGCTCCAGAGCTCTCAGGACCTCAGACTGGGGCAAAGGTTCAACTTCCAACAGGACAACGACCCTAAGCACACAGCCAAGGCAACGCAGGAGTGGCTTCGGGACAAGTCTCTGAATGTCCTTGAGTGGCCCAGCCAGAGCCAGGACTTGAACCCGATCGAACATCTCTGGAGAGACCTGAAAATAGCTGTGCGGCAATGCTCCCCATCCAACCTGACAGAGCTTGAGAGGATCTGCAGAGAAGAATGGGAGAAACTCCCCAAATACAAGTGTGCCAAGCTTGTAGCGTCATACCCAAGAAGACTCGAGGCTGTAATCGCTGCCAAAGGTGCTTCAACAAAGTACTGAGTAAAGGGTCTGAACACTTATGTAAATGTATATTGTAGATGGCCTACACTTAAGGAGACAGAGGCGCTGTTTCACTCGCTCGGATGCTTTCTCCTGTGAGAATCATTCAGCCTCTTGCAAATTGAAGGAAGATTATGACACACAAAGAGATGAAAGATACATTATTTTGTATTTGTTATTATTTTTAGGTCAATTCTTTTGGGCCTGGCTTTCCCTTGGCCCCCATGAATACAAGCCACTGCGTGAGGACAGTGACCCGTAAGAGCCATCTCTGACGCAGAACCAAGCTGTCATGCTGCAGCATCCGTGTGTTGCTGGAAGATATAGCCTAGCCTACCATGTGACAGTGTTAGCACTTAGCAAGCTGTGTGGCTCCATCCCTGCTCAGGGCACTAGCAGGATATAGGTGGTTATGCAAGGATTAATCATTTGGCTACTGACCCACATTAATTCATAGCAGGTTTTAGTGACTGGAAAGGGATAAACCTCTCCATGCATAACTTGTTTATAAGGCTTATGTGAATGATTACAGCTGTATGCCTTTTTGCCCGCTGTGTTTCTACACTTCCTGTCAATATATTACATTTACATTTTAGTCATTTAGCAGACGCTCTTATCCAGAGCGACTTACAGTTAGTGAGTGCATACATTTATTTTATTTTTTCATACTGGCCCCCCGTGGGAATCGAACCCACAATCTGCTGGGGGCCTTGGGTCGGACTTGTTACCATAGTAACAGAGATTTGCCTTCGCGGTATGGGTCAGGAAGGGCACTAATTCACTTAGACAGTCACATATCTGAAGGGCTTGACACCCAGATAAAGCCTGAAAGCCACAGCCAGGGTATCCATCAGACAGAGCTTCACCTCGGTGTCAGAGGTTATGTCAGAGCTCGAAGGGTGGAAAGGTAATCTTGATCCATGGACTATGTAAGCCTATGTATGCAGAAGCCAACTCTACAATATTCACCCACAGCCATTCTTAATGTTGTCAAAAGCAATCTGCCAGAGATGGTTTCTGATTGTGGATGGATGTGAGTGTCTCACTGGTTTCACTTTTACAGTGTATGGATGGAGCAACTGAAACTGTCATTTTTACATTTGAATAAGATATATTTTTAAGCTGGCACCCCACTGAAATGATTGTCTTTTAGCAATTTTATCCATGCTGAGGTGTGCTGTCATTTCATGTAAGCCTGGGCTCTTTTAGACATGTCCCAGTGTTTGAAGGCGTTCTAAAATAGCTGGATCTGATGCAGTTAGCGCTACTTTCAATTCCTGCATCAATATATTTACTGTAGACACTACAGCCTCCACCAGCGCACATCCTAATGGTGATCAAAACAAGTTCTATCATGTTTACCATCTGCATGAATTTGAAATGATTTCATCTCTTGGTGTCTGTATCCTGTGACGAATGCTGGCTGTATTGGCCTGGTAGCCGTGTCTGTTTATGCTTAAGCTAAATTCTCTAGCATTGTATGGCATGACAACAACATGTCATGAGGATGTGGCTAAAGCACAAACAGATCTAGCCACCGGGCTAATGCTTTGTGTCCTGAACATGATCTACCCTCCGAGCAAATGCTTTATGGCTTGAACATGATCTAGCCACCAGGCTAATGCTTCATGGCCTTAACATGATCTAGCCACCAGGCTAATGCTTTGTGGCCTGAACATGAGCTAGCCACCAGGCTAATGCTTCATGGCCTGAACATGTAACTGATCGGATGCCTGACTGTTTGATTAACAGGTGAGGACTTTGAGGTGGTGCAGCAGGAGATCATTGTGATGAAGGACTGCAAACACTCCAACATTGTGGCCTACTTTGGCAGCTATCTCAGGTAAGACTGACATACTGATAGATCAGTTGGACACTAATGATACAGCTGTTTCAGGCAGCTATGCCTGAAATGGACTATGTTGTCATTTTGGATGGAGCTAAGTTTCAAGTACAGCTAAAATGTCCGTTTTTGGTCTAATTGAGACCTGTTGTCTGATTGATGCTGTGAGTCTTGCAGTCCCAGTCTTGCTGTCTTGTGGTCTGTTGTGTATCACTTTCCTTCTCCTCCAGGAGAGATAAATTATGGATCAGCATGGAGTACTGCGGAGGAGGATCTCTGCAGGATATTTATCACGGTAGGACACACACAAACACACTTACGCACATAGTCTCTTCAAGCAGACACCTGTTCTCACATTCACAAAGTCACTCACACTGTGGTGACCTACGCATTCACCCATGCTCACAGTCACCCTAATTGAATAGCTGTGTTTTCATCTAAAAACCGACCATAAAGCACAATAAATGAAAGCTTGTTGCAATCAATATCCACACTCTTTCCACTTTTCCAACTTAAGCTGTCATAGCCAGCCAGCCAGCCAGCACAGTAAATAGCAGTCTTAAGTGAAACATCTGGTGTTGAACTCTAAATTGTGTATGAAACGCTTGAGATACTTTGTGTTGCTCTTAAACTCTGTCCTCATCCTTCCTCCTCTCCAGTGACTGGGCCTCTGTCCGAGTCTCAGATTGCGTATATGTCACGGGAAACCCTTCAGGTAAATTTTTTTCCCTGCTGCCGTGTGAATCTATGGGTCAGATTGAATAAGAATGAGTGATATGTTGTTTTCTTCCTTCCTTACAGGGTTTGTACTATCTCCACAACAAAGGCAAAATGCACAGAGACATTAAGGTAAGGCCATGTCAATGATGGCAATAAGCATGCTTTCAAGTAGAGACGATTGACTTTCAAACCTTATTTGTCTTTGCAAAATACCTCTGAAATGTTGTTTGATGTGGTTATTTTTTGCCTGACCCTATAACTTTTTCTCATAGGGAGCAAATATTCTATTGACAGACAACGGCTATGTGAAATTAGGTAAGGCCTTGGACAACCATTACTTTCCCCTCAACCAGACATCAGTTCCCAAAGCCTCACCTTGACTACTTAGGCTGCGTTCACACAGGCAGCCCAATTCTGATATTTGTTTTCCACTAATTGGTCTTTTGGCCAATCACATCAGATCTTTTCAAATCAGATCTTTTTCAGATAAAAAATCTGAATTAGGCTACCTGTCTAAATACAGCCTAAGTTACCTATTAGAATCAGATCTCACAATACCTCTATTTTTTCTCAATTTCCCCTCTCTCTCCTTAGCGGACTTTGGTGTATCAGCACAGATCACTGCTACGCTGGCTAAGAGGAAGTCCTTCATTGGAACTCCATACTGGTGAGCTTGTCCCCTGGTCCCTCCCCTCAGTGTCACACTATGGATGAGCTCTGACATGATGGTGTGGTTAATTGACTTATTGATCTAAGGATGTGACAGACCATTCATATTGCTCTGGACAGTGTTATGATTAGTGTTACGGTGGGAATTGATTGACTCGCACTGATTAATTGGCTCATGACTGATGTTAAGTACTCTCTCTCTCTCTTTTTTTTTTCCTCTTTTTTTTCTCTCTCTCCTCTCTCCCTCTCTCCTCTCAGGATGGCTCCAGAGGTGGCAGCAGTGGAGAGGAAGGGGGGCTACAACCAGCTGTGTGATATCTGGGCCGTGGGCATCACAGCCATCGAGCTGGCCGAGCTGCAGCCTCCTATGTTCGACCTGCACCCCATGAGGTGAGTCTGTGTGCTGGGCGATGTGTGAATGAAGCCTTGTGAATGTGATGCTGGATATTTCTTGCACTTTTTTGTACTTTGTGTTCTAGAAACCAAGTCTGTTTTCTTACTTTCCAGGGCCCTTTTCTTGATGACAAAGAGTAATTTCCAGCCGCCCAAATTGAAAGACAAAGTGAAGTGGTAAGGGTTCCCGTTCTCCTCTGTGAATAGCAGGGGTTGGAACCTGTTCAGGGAACAGAACCGGAAAATAACAAAACATTTCAAGGAACAGAACCTGGAACAAAAGTGATCCATACTGTACTGGAATGGAACTGTTGGCTCTAACCAGAATAGAAAGAGGAGTGGGAGGCCCCGGTGCACAACTGAGCAAGAGGACAAATACATTAGTGTCTAGTTTGAGAAACAGCTGCCTCACAGGTCCTCAACTGGCAGCTTCATTAAATAGTACCCGCAAAACACCAGTCTCAACGTCAACAGTGAAGAGGCGACTCCGGGATGCTGCCCTTCTAGGCAGAGTTGCAAAGAAAAAGCTATATCTCAAACTGCCCATCTTAATCTTTTATTTTTATTGGCCAGTCTGAGATATGGCTTTTTCTTTGCAACTCTGCCTAGAAGGTCAGCATCCTGGAGTCGCCTCTTCACTGTTGACGTTGAGACTGGTGTTTTGCGGGTACTATTTAATGAAGCTGCCAGTTGAGGACCTGTGAGGCACCTGTTTCTCAAACTAGACACCTAATGTATTTGTCCTCTTGCTCAGTTGTGCACCGGGGCCTCCCACTCCTCTTTCTATTCTGGTTAGAGCCTGTTTGCGCTGTTCTGTGAAGGGAGTAGTACACAGCGTTGTACGAGATCTTCAGTTTCTTGGCAATTTCTCACATGGAATAGCCTTCATTTCTCAGAACAAGAATAGACTGATGAGTTTCAGAAAAAAGTTATTTGTTTCTGGCCATTTTGAGCCTGTAATCGAACCCACAATTGCTGATGCTCCAGATACTCAACTAGTCTCAAGATGGCCAGTTTTGTTGCTTCTTTAATCAGCACAACAGTTTTCAGCTGTGCCAACATAATTGCAAAAGGGTTTTCTAATGATCAATTAGCCTTTTCAAATGATAAACTTAGATTAGCAAACACAACGTGCCATTGGAACACAGGACTGATGGTTGCTGATAATGGGCCTCTGTACGCCTATGTAGATATTCCATTAAAAATCAGCAGTTTCCAGCTACAATAGCCATTTACAACATTAACAATGTCTACACTGTATTTCTGATCAATTTGATGTTGTTTAATGGACAAAAAAATTGCTTTTCTTTCGAAAACAAATACATTTCTAAGTGATCCCAAACTTTTGAACGGTAGTGTACAGTTAGGTAAATTAGAATACGCTCTTATCCAGAGAGATTTAGGCCTACAGTCAGTGCATTTAACTAAAATAGGTAAGACAACCACATCACAGTCGCATATTGCATTACTGAAATGATTTTCAATACTTCCTAAACAAACACAATAGCCTACATATTTCTGCGTACACAAATGAGCATGGACAGGAGTGATTTTTATCGGGAAGGGACAGGAAAGTTCCGAGGTTATAGAACTGTTGCGGGATCAGGACCGTACAGGAAAGAAATTGACAGGACAAGATGTGACAGGAATACATTTTCACTCCCATGACAACCTTTAATTCCCAGTGCTTCAAGCCTCCTCCTCAACCCTCTCTTGCTCTCTCCCCACCCGTAAAATTCCAGTCGCATCTTGCGCCATTGGTTACACTTGTCTGTCCATCACGCATGTAAACAACTAGCTTGCCTGCTCTATCCGCACTGATTGGTGAAGTAATTTCATGAGCTAAATGTAAAAAATGGTTGGATTTCACAGGTTACAAAAGGAACAATATAAACCGTTACTTTTTTTTGCTGGTCGGATCAGTGGAACAGAACCAAAACAATTGTGATTCTGTTCAGAACGAAACGATTGGAAAATAATTTAGGTTCCAACCCCTGATTTTAAAATTCATATTACAATCATAAATGCTCTAACATGTATCTATCTTTTCTATCTCCTATGAAAGGGGAAATAACTTCCATCATTTTGTCAAATTGTCCCTGACGAAAAATCCCAAGAAGAGGCCAACAGCTGAGAAACTATTACAGGTACTCCCAGTCTAAATGGAAACACTAGATTTGAGTGTCTGTCAAGAAAATATGTTAACCAGCCAATCATTGATTACCAGTTCAGAGCAGTGTAAATGTAGGCTGTGACCTCACATCCTCTTCCTGTGTCCACAGCACCCATTTGTGTCACAGCCTCTCAGTCGAACCCTGGCCATCGAGCTGCTGGACAAAGCCAACAACCCAGACCACACCACATACAACGACTTTGACGATGACGACCCCGAACCAGAGGTACAGTCACCACCCCAACCTTTACAGCTCCAGTTTTATCCAATCAAATGGCAGGATGAAGACTGACACCTGTCCTCATTGGTCGTACCATCGTTCTGATCTCTTCACTGTCCGAGTTCTACATATTTTCTCTCTCCCTCCTCCTCCATTATCCCTCTCTCTGCTCTTCCTCCTCCTCAGTTTAAGTATAAGGGCCACTTCCTTCCCATCACCCCTGGTGCTCGGCGAGCTCCTCGCTTTGCCATGCGCAAGAAGGTACCAGTGTGGCCTGCGTTAGAACTGCACCAGTACCTCTGTGATCAGTACCTTTAGTAACAGAGCACTAACTAACACCGGTCTGTGTGTGCTCAGGTAGACTGGACTGGGTCTTGTCAATGAACCCTGCTTATGGAGTTGCTGTTACTTAGTTTGTTCAATTTATCTGCATGAATAGGCTACATGCAGTTAAACTGAGAATAAGTTACTCTCAGCTCACACATGCCTTCTATTGTGCATGTACACTACCAGTGAAAAGTTTTAGAACACCTACTCATTCAAGGGATTTTCTTTATTCTTACTATTTTCTACATTGTGTGTTGGGTCATTGTCCTGTTGAAAAACAAATGATACTCCCACTAAGCCCAAAACAGATGGGATGGCGTATCGCTGCAGAATGCTGTGGTAGCCATGCTGGTTAAGTGTGCCTTGAATTCTAAATAAATCACAGACAGTGTCACCAGCAAGGCACCCCCACACCATAACACCACCTCCTCCATGCTTTATGGTGGGAACTACACATGCAGAGATCATCCGTTCACCAACACCGCGTCTCACAATGACACGGCGGTTGGAACCAAAAATCTCAAATTTGGACTCCAAACCAAAGGACACATTTCCATCCAGTCTAATGTCCATTGCTCGTGTTTCTTGACCCAAGCAAGTCTCTTCTTATTATTGGTGTCCTTTAGTAGTGGTTTCTTTGCAGGAATTCGACCATGAAGGCCTGATTCACACAGTCTCCTCTGAACAGTTTATGTTGAGATGTGTCTGTGACTTGTACTCTGTGAAGCATTTATTATAATAATAATAATATGCCATTTAGCAGATGCTTTTATCCAAAGCGACTTACAGTCATGCGTGCATACATTTTTACGTATGGGTGGTCCCGGGGATCGAACCCACTACCCTGGCGTTACAAGCGCCATGCTCTACCAATTGAGCTACAGAGGACCACATTTATTTGGGCTGCAATTTCTGAGGCTGATAACTCTAATGAACTTATCCTCTGCAGCAGAGGTAATTCTGGGTCTTCCATTCTGCGGTCCTCATGAGAGCCAGTTTCATCATAGCGCTTGATGGTTTTTGCGACTGCACTTGAAGAAACCTTCAAAGTTCTTGAAATGTTCCGTATTGACTGAGCTTCATGTCTTAAAGTAATGATGGACTGTCGTTTCTCTTTGCTTATTTGAGCTGTTCTTGCCATAATACGGACTTGCTCTTTTACCAAATAGGGCTGTTTCTGTATACCCCCCAACCTTGTCACAACACAACTGATTGGCTCAAACGCATTAAGAAGGAAAGGAATTCCACAAATTAACTTTTTTTAAGAATCCAGGTGACTACCTTATGAAGCTGGTTGAGAGAATGCCAAGAGTGAGCAAAGCTGTCATCAAGGCAAAGGGTGGCTATTTGTTGATTTGTTTAACACTTTCTGGGTTACTACATGATTCAATAAGTGTTATTTCATAGTTTTTATGTCTTCACTATTATTCTACAATGTAGAAAATAGTAAAAATAAAGAAAAACCCTTGAATGAGTAGGTGTTCTAAAACCTTTGACCGGTAGTATACATTGGTTTGTTAAAGCTAATCTTAACAGGCTTGTGATTTGTCTGGCTATGTGCTAGGCCAAGGGTGTGTGTAGTGCATGAACATGCATATGGTAACTAGAACTTGTGAGGTCAAGCTGAGGTGAGGTCAAGCTGAAGTGAGGTCTAGCTGAGGTTTGTTTTTGTTTGTAGTCATTTAGCAGACGCTCTTATCCAGAGCGACTTACAGTTAGTGAGTGCATACATTATTTTTTTCATACTGGCCCCCCGTGGAAATCGAACCCACAACCCTGGCGTTGCAAACGCCATGCTCTACCAACAGAGCTACATACCTGCCGGCCATTCCCTCCCCTACCCTGGACGACGCTGGGCCAATTGTGCACCGCCCCATGGGTCTCCCGGTCGCGGCCGGCTACGACAGAGCCTGGATTCGAACCAGGATCTCTAGTGGCACAGCTAGCACTGCGATGCAATGCCTTTGACCACTGCGCCACTCGGGAGGTGAGGTCTAGCTGAGGTGAGGTCTAGCTGAAGTCGAGCTGAGGTGAGGTCTACTGAGGTGAGGTCTAGCTGAAGTCGAGCTTAGGTGAGGTCTAGCTGAGGTGAGGTCTAGCTGAGGTGAGGTCTAGCTGAGGTTAGGTCTAGCTGAGGTGAGGCCGAGCTGTGGTGTTCTATCTGTATTGTCCTTCAGTATGTAATTTGTATATCAGTATGTGCTTGGTCTCACAAGAAGACTGGTAAAGGAAACTTCCACTGAAGTCAATGGATGCCGTGTGAATTTGAGCTCCTTGATCTGCATGTTTTGTTTTTGTTGAGACATCACCTGCTGCCATGGTTTAATTGCCTGTTTGCAGTGTGGTCTGTCTTTGCTGTGTTCTGTTGCTGCCGTGGAGGCGTAGAGGTTGTTGTGACTGACTGGGCCATTGTTCAAATTTTCCCTGACTAGTAGGTCAGAGGTCAGAACAATTTCGGCCCCTTCTCACCCTAAAAAACAAAGTTGGTTTGAGCCTCCTGTCGATAATTAAAACATCAAATATACAGATCTTAGTGACAGTAAATTCTCTTGGATGCTCAGCACTCTCCTTTTCCCTCAGAGAGAGGTTGAATTAGGTTTTTGTTAGATTATGAAGTTTGCACAGGATTTAATAGGACTACAATTATTGGACTGAGGAATGGCACTAATTTAAGCATTATTTTTAATTTTAAGCATTATAAGTTGGGGAAAGGTTATTTGTGCGTGATGATGATGATGATGATGATGATGGTGTGTGTGCGTCCTGTGTGTGTGTGTATGTATGTGTCTTGGATATTTAGGTCTTCTGTTCTGTTTTCTTCCTGACAGTCTGTTTTCTTCCTGACAGTCTCCAGTGTCTGTTCCCCATCGGATTCGCTCCACCAGCAGGAGCACCAGGGAAGGGAAGACGCTGTCTGAGATCAACTGTAAGTGTCTGTGTGACTGGACCAGTTTCCCGGACCCAGATTGAACCTAGTCCTGGACTACAAAGCATGCTTAGTGGAGAATCTCCATTGAATGTGCTTTTTAGTCCAGCAATTGGTTTACTCTGTGTGACTATGGTGGATTCTGTTTTATCACAGTCTGTGATTATTGGCAGTGTGCTTAATCTGTGGTGTGGAGTGACTGACACAGTCATTTCTTTGTGAGTTCATGGTAGTCATAGTTTAGTGAACCTCTGTCTGTCAGGATTAACGTTGGCATGAGTATAATCTACTCTTTTCAGCTTCCACAGATTAACGGCTCCTCAAACCATGCAGTAAAGGAGCACACACACACACACACATTCACTCCTCTGTTAAAGTACCTCAGCACACTCACTCATCTATCTCTCTACCTGCAGCTGTACAGTTAAACTTCAAATCCTTTTAGAACGCTGTCAGCTCAGACAGGTCTATGTTCCTTACTACATGACTGATTTTCTTCTCCTCCTCCTTTCCCCCTCTCTCTCTTCTCCTCCCTCTCTCTCTCCTCTCTCTCTCTCTCCCTCTCTCCTCTCCTCTCTCTCCTCTCTCTCTCGTCTATCGCCTCTCTCTCTATCTCGCTCCTCCTCTCTCTACTCTCGCTCTCAGCTCTCTCTCTATTCGCTCCTCTCTCTATCTCCCTCTCTACTATCTCACACTCTCTATCTCGATCATCGCTCTATCTCCTTCTCTCATCTCTCTCTCCCTATCTCTCTCCTCCTCTCTCTCTCCTCTCTCTATCTCGCTCTCTCTCTATCTCGCTCTCATCTCTCGCTCTCTCTCACTCCTCTCTCTCATCTCTCTCTCTCCTCTCTCTCTCTCTCATCTCCGCTCTCTCTCTATCTCTCTCTCTCTCTCTCTCTACTCTCTTCGCTCTCCCTCTCTCTCTCTTCTCCTCTCTCTCATCTCGCTCTCTCTCTATCTCGCTCTCTATACTCGCCTCTCTATCTCTTTGCTCTCTCTCTATCTCATCTCTATCCTCTCTCCTATCTCTCATCATTTTTCAGCTCTCTCTCTCCTCGCTCTCTATCTCTGCTCTCCTCTTTCTCTCATCTCTCTCCATCTCTATTCGCTCTCCATCCGCTCTCCTCTATCGCTCTCCTCTTCATCCTATCTCGCCTTCTCTCTCTATTTTTCGCTCTCTCGCTCTCTCTCTCGATCTCTCTCTCTATCTCTATCTTCTCTCTCTATCTCTCTATCTCTATCTCGCTCTCTCTCTATCTCGCTCTTTTCTATCTGCTCTCATCTCGCTCTCGCTCTATCCTCGCTTTGCTATCGTCTCTCTCCCATCTCGCTCTCTCTCCTATCTCCTCTCTCTCTATCTCGCTCTCTTCTCTCTCTCCTATTCGCTCTCTCTCCTATCTCGCTCTCTCTCCCATCTCGCTCTCTATCACGCTCTCTCTCTCTATCTCGACTCTTTGCTCTCTCTTTCGCTCCCCTCTATTGCTCTCTCTCTCCTCTCTATCTCGCTCTCTCTATCTCGCTTTCTCTATCTCTCTTTTCCATTGCTCTCTCTCCTATCTGCTTCTCCCTTTTCCCCCCTCCATCTCGCTTCTCCCTATTCGCTCTTCTCCTATCTCGCTCTCCCCTATCTCTTCTCTCTATCTCGCTCTCTCTCCATTTTCGACTCTCTCTCTATCTGTCTCTCTCGTCTCTATCTCGCTCTCTCTCCTACTCGCTCTCTCTTTCGTCCTCTCCTTCTCGCTCTTTTCTATCCGCTCTTCATGCTCTATCTGCTCTCTCTCCTATCTCGTCTCTCTACTGCTTCTTCCCCATTCGCACTCTCTCTAGTCTTCTCTATCTCGCAACTCTCTCTATCTCGCCCCTCTCTCTATCTCGCTCTCCTCTATCTCGCTCTCTCTCGCAACTTTTCCTATCTGCACTTTCTCTCTATCTCGCTCTCTCTCTATCTCCATTCGCTCTTTTCTATCTCCTATCCCTCTCTCTTTCCTATCTCGTCTCTCTATCGCTCCGCTCTCCCCATCCGCTCTCTCTCTATCTCGCCTCGCTCTTCCGCTTCTTCTATCTCGCTCTCTCTCTATCTCGCTTTCTCCTATTCGCTCTCTCTATCTCGCCCCTCTCTCTCTTCCATCTGTCTCTCTCTCTCTCTCTTTTCTCTTCTCTTATCACTCTCTATCACGCTCTTCTCTATCTTTGCACTCTCTCTATCTCGCTCTATCTCCTTCTCTCTATCTCGCGCCTCTCTCTCGCTCTCTCTATCTCGCTCTCCCCTCTATCTCGCTTCTCTCTCTCTCGCTCTCCTCATCTCGCTTCTCTCTATCACGTCTTATCCGCTCTCTCTGCACTCTCTCTATCTCGCTCTCTCTCTATCCCCTCTCCCCTATCTCGCTCTCTCTCTATCTTGCTCTCTCTATCTCGCACTCTCCTCTACTCGCACCCTCTCTATTCGCACTCTCTCTATCTCGCTTTTCTATCGCTCTCGCTCTATCACGTCGCTTCGCTCCTCTCTATCTCGCTCTCTCTCCTATCGCTCGCTCTCTCTCTCTCTCCTATCTCGCTCTCTCTCCTATCTCGCTCTCTCTCCTATCTCGCTCTCTCTCTATCACGCTCTCTCTCTCTATCTCGCACTCTCTCGCTCTCTCGCTCTCTCTTATCTCGCTCTCTCTCTATCTCGCTTCTTCCCCTATTCGCTCTCTCTCTCATCTCGCTCTCTCTATTCGCTCTCTTCTTATCTGCTCATCTCCCATCTTGCTCTCTCTCCTATCTTTCTATCCCTATCTCCTTCTCTCCTATCTCGCTATCTCTCCTATCGCTCTCTCTCCTATCTCGCCTCTCTCCTAATCTCGTCCCCTCTATTCGCTTCTCTCCTATCTCGCTCTCTCTCTATCTCGCTCTTCTCTATGTCTCTATCTCGCTTTTCTCCTATCGCGCTCTCTCTCTTATCTCGCTCCTCCTATCTCGCTCTCTCTCTATCTCGCTCTCTCTCTATGTCTCTATCTCGCTCTCTCTCTATCTCGCTCTCTCTCTATCTCGCTCTTCGCTTTTAGCACTCTTCCATCGCTCTCTCTAGTCTCTTCTCCTCTCTCTAATCCGCTCTCTCTCTATTCGCCTCTCGTATCGCACTCTTCTATCGTCTCTCTATCTCGATCTCTCTATCGCATCTCTCTATCTCGCTCTCTTCATCCGCTCTCGCTCTCTTCGGTCTCTCTCTATCTTCTTTCTTATCTCGCTCTCTTCCCATCCGTCTCCTATCGCTCTCTCTCCTATCTCTTCTATCTGCTCTCTCTCTCTCCTTCCTTCCCCTCCTCTTATCACTCTATCGCCTCTCTTATCTCGACTCTCTTATCTCGCTCTTTTTCGCTCTCTCTATATCTGGCTCTCTCTCTCGCTCTTCTATCTCGCCTTCCCCTCTCTATCCTCGCCTCTCTCTCTCGCTCTCTTCTATCTCGCTCTCTCTCATCAGTCTATCACGCTCTCTCTCGCACTTCTTTCTGCTCTCTTTATTCCTCTCTCTTATCTCGCCTCCTTTTATCTTGCTTCTTCTACCGCATTCTCTTTTCGCACTTCTCTCTATCTCGCACCTTCTCTATCTCGCTCTTATTGCTCTCGCCTCATCCCTCCGTTGCTCTCCTTTTATCCCCTCTCTCTCCTATCTCGCCGCTCTTCCCCTTTTCTCCATCTCGCTTCTCTCCTACTCGCCCTCTTCCATTTGCTCCTTTCCATAGCTCTCCCTCATCTCGACTTTCCCCGCTCTCTCGCTTTCTCTATTCGCTCTCTCTTATTTCCCCCTCTTCCCCATCTCGCTCTCTCTTCTATTCCCCCTCTCTCTATCCCCTCTCTCTCTACTTTCTCCTCTCCCCTTTTTCCTCTCCTATCTTTCTCTCTTCCCCATTCCCCTTTCTCCTATCTCGCTTCTCTCCCATTTGCTCTCTCCCTATTCGTCTCTCTCCACTCGTTCTTCTATCTCCCTCTTCTCCTATCTCGCCCTTTTCTATCTCGCTTCTCCCATGTCTCTTCTCGCTCCTTCCTACCGTCTTTCATCTCCCCTCTCTCGCTATCTCGCACTTCTCTATCCTCTCTCTTGTCTCATCGCTCTCTCTCCTATCCGCTCTTCTTTTTGCTCTTCGTATCTCGCACTCTCTCATCGCCCCTCTCTATCCACTCTCTTATCCGCACTCTTCCATTCGCTCTCTTCTATTCGCTCTATCTCGCACTCTCTCTATCTCGCACCCCTCTCATCCGCACTTCCCCTTTTCTCCCATTCGCTCTATCCCTTCTTTTATCCATTCGCTCCTCTCTACCCTATCCGCTTCTCTATCCCCACCCGCTCTCGCTTCTTCTACTCGCTCTTCTCTATCTCGCCTTCTCTATCTCGCTCTCCTTCCTGCTTTCTATCTGCTCTCTCTCATCGCCTCTCATCTGTTTTCTCTCTCCCACTGCTTCTTCCTCTCTCTCTTCTCTCCTAACCCTTTTAACGTTCTTCTTATCTGCTCTCTCCTATTTGCTTATTCGCCTCTTCTTTCGCTTCTCTCTTTCCCCTCTCTTCATCCGTTCTTTTCGCACTCTCTCTATCCGCTTATCTCGCTCTCTCCTAAACCATCTCTCCTTTCTTTTCCATCCCCTTCTCTCTTTCCTATCTCGCTTTTCTATTCCCCTCCGCATCTGCCCCTTTTATCTCGCTCCGCTCTTCTTCGCTTTTCTCCTATTTGCTCTCTTAAACCGCCTCTCTCTCTTATCTTGCCTTTTTCTTCTCTCTCTATAATTCTACACGCTCTCCTATCCGCTCTCTCTCTATCTGCTCTTCTCTATCCGCTCTTCTCTTCTCGCTCTCCGCCTCTCCTTTTCAGTCTATCACGCTCTCTCTCGACCTTTTTATTCGTCTTTTCCCCTCTCTTCTATCCGCTCTCTCTTATCTGCACTCTTATTTCCCCCTCCCCCTCTTTTCTCGCACTCTCTTCATTCGTTCTCTCTCTATCTCGCTTCTATTCGCTCTGTCCTATTTTGCTCTTCTCATTCGCTCTCTCTCCTTCCGCTCTTCTTATCTGCTTCTCTCCTACTCGCTTCTTCCTATCACGTCTCTCTCCTATTCGCACTTTCCCCTCTATCTCGCTCTCTCTTTCGCTCTCTTCCTATTGCTCTCTCTCTATTTTCTCTCTTCCTATCTCGTCTTTTCCATTCGCTCTTCTCCATTCGCCTCTCTCCTATTGCTCTTTTCCACTCGCTCTCTTCCTACTCGCTCTCTTCCATTTTTCCCCTCTCTCTATTACTTCTCTCTATTCCCCTCTCTTCCTATCTGCCCTCTCTCTATTCGTTTCTCTATGTCCTATCCGCTCTCTCTCTATGCCTATTCTTCTCTTTTCCCATCTCGTCTTCTTATCTCGCTCGCTTCGTACTCGCATCTCTCTATTCCTCTCTTCCCATCGCTCTTTCTAAATTTTGCACTCTTCTATCTCGCTCTCTTTTCCCCATTCTCGCACTCTCTCTATCTCGCTCTCTCTATATCGCAATCTCTTCTTCTCGCACTCTTCTCTATTCTCGCACTCTCTCTATCGCTGCACTCTCTCTATCTCGCACTCTCTCTATCTCGCACTCTCTCTCTATCTCGCACTCTCGCTCTATCTCGCACTCTCTCTCTCGCACTCACTCTCTCTCTATCTCGCACTCTCTCTCGCACTCTCTCTCGATCTCTCTATCTCGATCTCGGTCGCTCGTTCTCTCGCTCTCTCTATCGCTCGCTCTTTCTCTCTATCGCTCTCTCTCTCTCTCTATCGCTCGCTATTTCTCTCTATCGCTCGCTCTCTCTCTATCGCTCTCTCTCTCCCTCCCTAGTTGGCCAGGTGAAGTTTGACCCCCCGTTGAGGAAGGAGACAGAGCCCCATCATGAGCTGGTGAGTAGCCTGGTCCTGCAGTGTCCCCCTGATACCACTGTGGCTGAACCCTGTGTGTCGGTGCCGTAACAGGAACAAAAAAACATAGATCGGCCCCCTTAGCTGAGATTCTGCTACAGTTCAAATCACAATGAATGCATATCTGATCTCAAGTCATCCGTATTATCAATCTCCCAGTGTAGCATATTCCCTGAACTTTTTTGTCCTCAATTTGTCTGAATGCACCCCTGGCAGAGGTTTCAGTGCAGGGTTCATACGGCATGCATGGCCACCCCTCTTCTCTCCCCTCACTCTCATCCCTCACTCTCATCCCTCACTCCCTACCTCTCTTATCAATCCTCTCCCCTGCTTTAATCCCTTTCTCTGATTGGATGGCATTAACTTTGAATTAACAGGTCTTTCTCACTCTGCCTGTTGAACAGCCCGACTCTGACCCTTTTTTGGACTGTGCAGAAGAGCTGTACTACACTGCGAGATCTAATCTGGTATTTTCCCACAACTCTCCATTTCTTCTTTTGGGTTGTCTCTCTGCTTCTTAACGCTTAACCGTCCTCTTTCAGTTCGCCTTGTCTCTTTCGCGATTCTTTTTGAGTTTCTACGTTTGACAGATGTCAGTAACTGTTTGTTAATTTGTTTCTGTGAAGCTGTCTTCGCCTCATTGGCTGTTTTTGTTGTTATTCTGGTCTTATGTTGGTTGTTATTTGAACAGGATGACCTTCAACTACACAACCGGTTAGACCTCACCAGCACATTTTAAGGCTCTAGAGAGAGAGAGGAATGGCGGGATGGAGGAAAAACTGTATAGAGAGATGGAGGGTGTGGAATGGAGATATATAGGTAGAGGGATGATATACTGTTGGGAGAGGGATGTCTCTGTACAGCAGATAGGTGGATGAACCTCCTCATAGGGAAAACCTGTGTGACTGACTTGGACCCCTGAGGCCATGGCCTATTAGAGCAGGAACAGATCAAGCCCTAAGCTGCCATTACCAGTCCCCCCTGCCTCCTTCTGCCAAAATATTACTGACTCCACAGTCACAGTTAAACTTGTTAGACCTCATTTCTTTCTGTCATATACTGGGAGATGTATTGACGTGACTGAGGCAGCAGGATATGGCAGTTTGTTAGCATAAGGTAAGAATGTTAGCTGAGCTCTCTTTAGCTTAATGTAGTATGGCTATGTCAGTTTGCGGTGTGTTGGCCCATAGGAGTCAGGCTCTGTCACTTGGCTGTGAAGGGGGAATACCGGTATCTATATCCTCACTGGAAAAACCTATATGTCCACTGATCTGATGGACCCGCAATGATACTGTTCAGTAACGTCAGTCACATTGATGCAGTACACACACACACACACACACACACACGGATGACTATGTTATGTGAATGATACAAATGGAAAATCTACTGTGTAAAGGTGTTGTAGTACAAGGGGCTATACAGAGGTATCTCAGCAGAATTCGCTGCAACGGTATGGGCGAAGGGTGGCTTTTGTGTGTGTGTTCCATAGTGCATAATGCTGTCATATCCCTTTACTTTTATCACACGTGCACATTAGAAACATCTACCATAATTCAAAGTGGTGTTTCTCTAAGCACCACTGCAGTGGTGACCTCTGACCTGTAGTGTCATCAGCTCTCTGTGGGCGCTGTCTGCCAGCCCTGAGGTTGTTATTCTCACGGAGTCAAGGTCCTGTAACGTCCTGGATGGCCTGTTCGTTAGGGTCATCACTGTGACCAGGGAGTCATTAGGTTAGACCACACTCTGCCTTCTCTCTCTCCACACAATCTCTACGTGTTTTTAGGTGTTGTGTTTATGTATGCGTCTCACCTCTTAATATAGTTGATGCAGTACAGTAGGTAACCTGGGCCATGGCTGTGTGTGTCGTTGTGTTTCAGAAACAGTCCTGTAATTGTGATATGCCTCCCTCTAGGATCTCCAGCGGGAGTATGGACAGGAATCTCCACACCTGACAGGAGGGAACAAGTAAGTCACACTTTCTGGGTTTCTACTCCTCGTCCTCCTCTATTCTTCCTGTCCCTTCCCTATGCTTGATCATCTTTCCTACCTATCTCTCCTTCATCTGTTCTCCTTGCCTCTCCAGCTCTCCTCTCTTCTTCTTTCAACTCTCCTCGCCTCCCCCGCTCTCTCTCTCTCTTCTTCACCTTCTCTTGTCCTCACCTCCCCCGCTCTCCCTTCCTCCTCTCCTGTCCTCCTGTTTTATCTGAATAGGGATTAGCCCGAGCAGATGGTGGTGTGGTACTGAGGTGACTTCCTGTAGAGAGAAAGGCATCTGATGCGTCTGATCATTTATTCATGACACCTTTCCTGGAACGCAGCTCAGCTCAGAAGAAGTGCCCTGTAAGCACTGTGTGTGTGAAATAACATAGACAGACTCGCAGCTGCTTAAACCTAGAATGATCTGCTCCATAGCAGGATGGGGTGGAGTGATAGATGGTGTGTTTTCTGTGTATAGGATAAATCAGACGAGGATTATTGAAAAAGCCACTCCTTCCAGATCTGAGGCACTCTGAATCTTATTCTGTTATCTGATTACTGAACAATTGATGTCCACATTCCTTCACCCTTCTCACACTGGACAGACCCATAGGGTTTATATTGTCACCTGCATACACACACACACTGTTGCTTACACATAGCTGACCTGACAGCTTCATACATCCCAGGTGAGTGTACAGCTTTGAGTGGCTAAGGTAAATGTTCGATGGGTTATGATGTCATCTCAGCTGGGATGAAACTCACACACACTCAAGCACGCTGAATGAATCTTCTCTGTGGTTTCCATGGGTTTTTGCCCTGTAGCATTAAAGAATGTCATGTTAAATTAGGTCAGGTACCCCCCTCTGAGAAATAATGCCTTTACTCATGTCATGTGCGATTATGTCACTGAGTTGATGCTTTTCGTCCTCCTTTTTTAACTTCTCCTTCGTTCATTTCACTCGTTATTTGACAGGAGTCTTCTCAAATCAGTGGAGGAGGAGCTTAAGCAGAGGTGAGTTAGGCCACGCCCCTCAAGACTCGACCTGCAACTGCTCTGGTTTTTGATTCGCTGACACGCCATAACCGCGCTCACCCCAGCAGCCAATCAATGTTAACGCAGGACTAATCCAGCCAATCAGTGTCAAGCAAAACTAATCTGCTCTGACTGCTGCATTATGGCATGATTCTATTGTGTCCGTTGTTGTTCAATGTTTCCAATCAGGACAGGCTGCGCTGTGAGATCACCAGACACCGTGAACTTCAAAAAAGCATGGCTTATACACTGACTTAATTACTTAGTATATAAGCCCTATCTAGTTACAGTCTATAGTGAAATCACCCAGCCCTATAAGTAAGATGAGTAAAATTAGCAAAATAGAGCATTAAGGTTTAGTAAGCCACATTCTTATTTGGTTTAATTCTATAGCCATGTAGTCCTTTAGTTAAGCTGTACCTTTATGTAGTTTTAAGTGTTGTCATTATGTTACGCTAGCCGTGTAGTTCGAGTTAATTTCCCCTTGTCTCAGTGTCTCCTCCCAGTGGGTAAAAGAGGAGAGCAGCTTGACTTTGCCTCTTGGCCTCTTTGCCTTGCTGTGAGCCCCCCCCATCTCCTCGGGGGTCATATGGCACATTTAGAGACTGATGATGATGAAACTCAACAGTAAGTCATTTCATTCATTTCATTTCAGTCATTTAGCAGACACTCTTTTCCAGAGCGACTTACAGTTAGTGAGTGCATACATTTTCATACTGGCCCCCCGTGGGAAACGAACCCACAACCCTGGCGTTGCAAGCGCCATGCTCTACCAACTGAGCTACAGGGGACTGTAAGTTCTTCTCGTGTTTTAGTCCATCCGCCCTCTCTGAGGAGGAGGAGGAGGAAGGCTACCTCTTCCAGTTTCATTCACACATCTTCATGCCGGATTTCACACCATCACGCCCGTTCTGTGCTTTTAGTGCCCTCCTGTGCTCCCTCTCCGTCTCTCTGCACCGCCTTGATTCCTCCAACGGTTGAGTTTGATCTATGGACTCAGACATGGGTCTCGTTCATTAAGACAGTAGAGCAGAACTTGACCCCTGCCATTCCTTATCTTTTTCTTGGTGTGTGTTCATCATTCTGTGACACCTGCTTCCATGCTTGCTGACCTCGGTGTGTGTTCATACCGCCTTTTTGCCATCTGTTCCCGATGTGTGTTCTCACTGCTTGTATCCTTTCTTGTTTAAAACCCTTTCCACCTGTTTAACCCTAGTGCCACTCAGGTTTGTGTTCTCATGGTGATGTTGAACTTGTGACTCTGTTTGATTGGTGCCATGTCTATGTCCGTCATGATTGAGTGGTCTCTGATTGGCTCATACTGTACATACACATTACATTGACTGGGCCGTTGGGATACCCTGTTCAAGGGAATGCTAACATCTTGTGTGTCAGTTGTCTTGTGGTGTTTTCGGGGGTTGACAGACCTTTGTTGTCTTTACCCACACCTGACCTGTTGTCTAAAACTATGTTGTGTTACTTAGTTGTCTAATACTGTGTTGTGATAGAAGACCATGTTGTTTGAAGTGATAGTCTGTCAATGTGTCTGTCATTCTGTCTTAACACTTATTGTGACAGCGATGTTTTGTAGCTGTCAATATGTGGAACCTTCGGAATCTTGTCACTGTCTAACAAACCTAACCCCAACTCAATCTCTCCCTCTAGCAAACACAGCACCATCATGAGGCCCAAAGTCCCACCTCCACTGCCCCCCAAGGTAGGACCACTAGCATATGTCATACTGCAGCATTTTGGATCACAATCAAACAACCACGACTACTATTTAGTGGAAAGGACCCTCGAGCAAAATTCTGAGTTGCATACATCAATATTTTCTCTCAAAGCTAATTCAAACTATTGACATTACATTTGTAAGATGGGCAGCAGAGCTTGACCCATGAGTAATAAAAGGGCAGGCATTAATCAACCTCTAGAGATTGTCTACCTTTCTGCTGTCTCTCTCGCTCTCTCTGTGTCTCATCTCTCCATTTCCTCCCACTCTCCCTCCAGCCCAAGTCTATCTGTCCGCCCCAGGAGAGCCCGTCCCAGGGAGAGGACGATGGAGGTGGAGGGGGGACCATCAAGCGCTGCCCCGTACCCGAGAGCCCCGCCCGACCCGCCTCAAATGTACCCCCCCGCCCTCCACCCCCACGCCTGCCCCCCCACAGACGCAGTAGCCTAGGTAACGAGAGTACACAGAGCCAGGCTGGCTCAGAGCCCGAGGGGAATGATGATGGGAGCTTTAGGCATTTCTGGGAGTGGCTTCATGCCCCACACACGGAAGAGGAATTGGAAGATGTGTTGGAGGAGGAGGAGGAGGAGGAAGAAGAGAGTAAGGCCGGCCGATTGGTAGCCCCGTAGACGTCGCTCCTCCCTGATTGGTTGTTAGTCCCATCAATCAGCATCCGTAGTGTCTCGCACCGCCGCTCCCTCCCTCCCCTCCCCCTTTCCTCTGTCTGTCTGTGGATGTATATAGTGCGGTGTTGTTGCTGCAGTCATGTGACCCTCTCTGCAACCAAACTCCTGCCTCCTTTCTCCCATCGTTGATATCACATGTTCTCTATGAAGCAATCAAAATGTTATTGAACTCTGAATGTAATCAAGCATTCGAAATGTGATACGCCATTCTCAGTTCAGTATGTTAGCATGATCGAATCATTTAGTTTGAGAGATGTCCCACTCTTGTAATCCTAACCAAACATATTCCATTAATACTGATAAGTAGTAATTAGATTTTAGCATATGTGCGTACGTCTCAGTAGAACACTCACACCATTGATCTACTGTCTATTCAGGCAGCCCAATTCTGAGCTTTTTCCACTCATTTGTCTTTTGACCAATCAGATCAGCTCTTTTGCAAATAATTGGGCAGAAGATCAGAATTAGACTGCCTGTGTAAATGCAGCTTTAATCTCATGCACATACACACACGTGTTGAACACCACACACACTCACACACACACAGAGGCATGCGCACACACACACACACACACACACACAGACAGAGGTATGCACACACACACACACACACACACACACAGAGGCATGCACACACTCACCGAGGTAAGTGTAATAAACATGTCTCCCGCTGCAGGTAATGGATTGAGCTCTCACCAGAATGGAGAGAAGGACAGTGCTACTGAGAGGCAGTCCACCATGCCCCCTAGTGTCCCCATACGGAAAGACAAGAAGGACATTCCTGTAATGCCACCAGATCCTGCACACTCTCCTTATTAACAGTGACATTTCAATACATTCCCTTTCATTCCACACTAGGGCATCACCACACTGATGTATTATTAAAGCCAGTAAACCATTCATCTAAAACGAATGTGGACCAGTGATCATCAACCTTATGTGTCTCTCTGTATGCATCTCCTCCCCCTCTTTTCAGAAGCCTGTCAGTAATGGTCTCCCACCCACACCCAAGGTCCATGTGAGTATGATGCTAACAGACATGCTAACTTACTGAAACATTATGAATCGAAGTCAAAAGTGGTGTTGGCCTCTAAAATGGAGCTTTCAAAACAAGACCTTTCAAGAAAAGATTACTATTGTGTTTGGCTTCCCTCTAACTGTCCATCCTCCATCGTTCTTGCTCCTCAGATGGGGGCCTGTTTCTCCAAGGTGTTCAACGGCTGCCCGTTGAAAATCCATTGTGCCACATCCTGGATCAACCCAGACACCAGAGGTAGGACATTGGGAAAACAACGTAGCGTAGCCTATCAGTGGCTCGGGTGTCACTTTTTACATCTTTATTGTCATGACTTATTACATGAATCGTTGCCATGTTGATGATTTTGATTAAAGGGGTACTTCGGGATTTTGGCAATTAGGCTCTTTATCTACTTTCCCAGAGTCAGATGCACTCATGGATACCATTTTTATTTCTGCATCCAGTATGAGGGAAGTTAGATGTAGTTTTGCGAGTCAATGCTTACTAACATTAGCACAATGACTGGAAGTCTATGGTATCTACTAGCATGCTAGCAGTTACCATAGACTTCCAGTCATTGCGCTAACTCTAGTTAGCAATTGCGCTGATGCTAGTTAGAAACATCCTTTAAACTGCATGCAGAGACAAAAAAAATGTATCCACAAGTTCATCTGACTCTGGGAAAGTAGATAAAGGGCTTCATTGCCAAAATCCTGAAGTATTCCTTTAACATGACTAATAGGCTCTTTGTTTTGTCTTTGTTTCAGACCAATATTTGATATTTGGTGCTGAGGAGGGGATCTACACTTTAAACCTGAATGAACTGCACGAGACATCAATGGAGCAGGTTTGATCTGGTTGAAGTAACATATTGCTCACAAGGCTTTTTTTCTTCAATGGAGGATTCTAAATGTTGTTTCAAATCTTTATTGGCTCTCTCCATCCGTTCTGTCCCCAGCTCTTTCCCCGGCGGTGCACTTGGCTTTATGTTATGAATAACTGCTTGCTCTCTATATCTGGTAAGACTATCTTGGACCTACAGTGAGGGGAAAAAAGTATTTTATCCCCTGCTGATTTTGTACGTTTGCCCACTGACAAAGACATGATCAGTCTATAATTTTAATGGTAGGTTTATTTAAACAGTGAGAGACAGAATAACAACAAAAAATTCCAGAAAAACGCATGTCAAAAATGTTATAAATTGATTTGCATTTTAATGAGGGAAATAAGTATTTGACCCCTCTGCAAAACATGACTTAGTACTTGGTGGCAAAACCCTTGTTGGCAATCACAGAGGTCAGACATTTCTTGTAGTTGGCCACCAGGTTTGCACACATCTCAGGAGGGATTTTGTTCCACTCCTCTTTGCAGATCTTCTCCAAGTCATTAAGGTTTCGAGGCTGACGTTTGGCAACTCGAACCTTCAGCTCCCTCCACAGATTTTCTATGGGATTAAGTTCTGGAGACTGGCTAGGCCACTCCAGGACCTTAATGTGCTTCTTCTTGAGCCACTCCTTTGTTGCCTTGGCCGTGTGTTTTGGGTCATTGTCATGCTGGAATACCCATCCACGACCCATTTTCAATGCCCTGGCTGAGGGAAGGAGGTTCTCACCCAAGATTTGACGGTACATGGCCCCGTCCATCGTCCCTTTGATGCGGTGAAGTTGTCCTGTCCCCTTAGCAGAAAAACACCCCCAAAGCATAATGTTTCCACCTCCATGTTTGACGGTGGGGATGGTGTTCTTGGGGTCATAGGCAGCATTCCTCCTCCTCCAAACATGGCGAGTTGAGTTGATGCCAAAGAGCTCGATTTTGGTCTCATCTGACCACAACACTTTCACCCAGTTCTCCTCTGAATCATTTAGATGTTCATTGGCAAACTTCAGACGGCCCTGTATATGTGCTTTCTTGAGCAGGGGGACCTTGCAGGCGCTGCAGGATTTCAGTCCTTTCAGTGTTTTCTTGGTGACTATGGTCCCAGCTGCCTTGAGATCATTGACAAGATCCTCCCATGTAGTTCTGGGCTGATTCCTCACTGTTCTCATGATCATTGCAACTCCACAAGGTGAGATCTTGCATGGAGCCCCAGGCCGAGGGAGATTGACAGTTCTTATGTGTTTCTTCCATTTGCGAATAATCGCAGCAACTGTTGTCACCTTCTCACCAAGCTGCTTGGCGATGGTCTTGTAGCCCATTCCAGCCTTGTGTAGGTCTACAATCTTGTCCCTGACATCCTTGGAGAGCTCTTTGGTCTTGGCCATGGTGGAGAGTTTGGAATCTGATTGATTGATTGCTTCTGTGGACTGGTGTCTTTTTATACAGGTAACAAGCTGAGATTAGGAGCACTCCCTTTAAGAGTGTGCTCCTAATCTCAGCTCGTTACCTGTATAAAAGACACCTGGGAGCCAGAAATCTTTCTGATTGAGAGGGAGTCAAATACTTATTTCCCTCATTAAAATGCAAATCAATTTATAACATTTTTGAAATGCGTTTTTCTTGATTTTTTTGTTGTTATTCTGTCTCTCACTGTTCAAATAAACCTACCATTAAAATTATAGACTGATCATTTCTTTGTCAGTGGGCAAACGTACAAAATCAGCAGGGGATCAAATACTTTTTTCCCTCACTGTATATTGTCTTACTTTGTTGTTTGTTCTGTATCTAGTAATGGTTTTGCAGTAGTAGGAGTAATGTGCTGCTCTGGTATTTTGACATTTCTTTGCCAAAAAAGGTAGACATTTAAAGGCACTCGCCTTTAAAACTTTTACTCTGGAAAATTGAGGCAGGAATTTCTCTGTTTAAATGATGTCTGCCCTTTCCCGAAAAATATAATATTGCCCTGTAAGGTGTGTTTTGGAAGCAGACTTTTTGTCTTTTCTTTTTGGGGTCATAAATTGCCCTTTAAAAGTTTAAAAGTCTAGCTGAAAATCTTATTTTGTATTGCTTCAGGAAAAGCCTCCCAGCTCTACTCTCATAACGTAGCTGGTCTGTTTGAGCATGCCCGGCAAATGCAGAAGTTACCCATGGCCATTCCCACACACAAACTCCCAGACAAAATGATTCCAAGGTAGGATATGTGAGGTATTTTCATTCATTTGAGTTTGAACTTGGGGTGTTTAAGGGGATACATATAAAACTGATTTCTTGTTCCTTATGATCCTTGTAGGAAGTTTGCCGTATCTAATAAGATTCCAGACACAAAAGGGTGCCAAAAGTGCTGTGTAGGTGAGTTCTCAGGAGGGTGGAGTGCCCACACGAAACTGTATGCATACACATACTGTAAGTCGCTTTGGATGAACGCGTCTGCTAAATGGCATATATTATCAACTGCTGCATGGCACCATTCTTGAGGATCGTTCCAAATAATGCATAAGATATCATATTGATAGAGTATAGCTCAGAGTTCAAAGAAAGATTGTAAGAGACCTTGAATGTGTTTGTTTGTGTACAGTGAGGAACCCATACAGTGGGCACAAGTACCTGTGTGGAGCATTCCAGTCCAGTGTGGTTCTGCTGGAGTGGGTGGAGCCCATGCAGAAGTTCATGCTCATCAAGGTCAGTCAGTGTGGGTCAGTTCAGGTCATTCTGGGGCAGACTGACTGAGGATGACTAATGGGTTATAATGGACCCTATCTGGCTTGGATAAACCTAATGCAGTCCTGTTCAGAAAGCTTATTAGATTGACTAAAGTAGTGTGCAAACATTGCTTGTCTCTAACAGAGTTCAAATTATTCATGTCATCTGTGGTGTGTAACGGCATGCTAAATCTATCTCCTGTGTCTCTTCTGTAGAACATCGACTTCCCCCTGCCATGTCCTCTGGAGGTGTTTGAGATGCTGGTGGTACCGGAGCAGCAGTACCCTCTCATCTGTGTGGCCGTCAGCAAGGGCACCGAGCTCAGCCAAGTGGTCCGCTTCGGCACGGTCAACCCCAACTCAACCTCCTCCTGGTTCACAGAGGCCGGTCAGTGGAACATGGTCACGCCGATGATGATGATAGTGATGATGATCTTCATTAGGACGATGATTGTTTCTAATGAGTTGTTTTTCTGTCCCCTCAGATACGCCCCAGACGTGTGTCATCCACGTCACCCAGTTAGAGAGGGACACCATATTAGTTTGTCTCGACAGTACGTTTTACTTCCCCGCAACAACTTGACTAACCCAAATAATAATTGTATTCTCAATGGAGAAATTCCAGCTTCTGCATAAAACTATTTTCTGTGCTCAGGGTGTATAAAGATAGTGAACTTACAGGGAAGGTTGAAGTCAAGCAGGAAGTTATCTGCTGAGCTGACGTTTAACTTCCAGATCGAGGCGATAGGTACGTTTCCATAACCATGGTATTCACACTTCTACCCAGCCCAAATAAACTAAAGACTGGGTCCTGTTGTGCTAAAGACAGATATTTCCATCTGTGTATACATCTCTACGCAGAAAGATAATTCGATATCCTGAGAATGTTTCTCCTGTGACGCATTTCTCAGCTCGTATCTGTGCTTTTTGTGGTTCAATGTAACCCCCACGTGTCTTTGCAGTGTGTCTCCAAGATAGCGTTCTGGCGTTTTGGAGACATGGTATGCAAGGACGGAGTTTCAAGACGAATGAGGTAAGCTGAGGACATTTAGGTGTGTGGATGTCTGAGAGGAGTTGTTTCTTTGTGTACACTAGAGGGTAACCTTTTTTTCCTGTCACATCCCGGTCCTGTTTATAACAACAACAACAAAAAATTATCCTGTTGTATGTGTTTGAATATTATCTTAAATGATCCTTTGTCTGTCTGCACTCAAGATCACCCAGGAGATCTCTGATAACACACGGATCTTCAGACTGCTGGGATCTGACAGGTGAGTAAAATAATCCATGATGCTCAAGGTCACCTCACCTGACACACTTGGACACACTCACATACTTTGACCCCTTTCACTTTTACACTGGCAATTATATTTTTTATAAATATTTCTCTTTTAGCTATTTCAGTTTACACTGGCGATAACATTAACATGGATGTTGTCATGATGGCCATTTTGTTTTCGAATGACCTGTTGCAGTAGTATAGAACCCTGATTGCCTGAAGTCTTTGGTGTTGTTGGTTTTATGCATGCTTGCTTGTCTCTTAATGGCTTGTTTGATTTTGTGAATGAAGAAACTCTCAGCACGACAGTTCAGGGCAGGAGGGAGCCGCCAGTCTGCCCAGGTATACTCACTGCTCCCTGGGTCACACCAGGTCTCGCCTAGCCTACAGACTCTCTGATCTATGAATGTCCCCTGTGGGGACCCTGGATTTCATTCCGCCTGTATGAGTGTGTGGGTGTGTGTCTAATGCTCCTATAATCTCTGAACCCATTGTATTTCTGTTTTCTTGGGTCAGTAACTACTTTGTTACAGCACGTTGACCCTCTTAACATGATGGAATTTGTCTATGGGGCTTGAGTATGTTCTGAATAGGATCTGGGCTTGTGGATGTTGGGGCGTCTGTTGGTGTGAAAGTGTTTTTTCTGTGTGTGACGCTTACATCCTTAATCCTCCTGGTCCCCTCTGGGATGTATACTTTCACAGTGTGAGGCTGATCTGAACATGATCTTGTGTGTTTTAGAGTGGTGGTGTTGGAGAGCAGGCCGACAGACAACCCCACAGCACCCAGCAACCTCTACATCCTGGCTGGACACGAGAACAGCTACTGATCACACCGCACAGCATCCTGAGAACACAAGTCGCTATAGAAAGACGGACACTATAGACAGAAAGACACTATAGACAGACAGACACACTATAGACAGACAGACACACTATAGACAGACAGACACACTACAGACACACACTATAGACAAACACTATAGACAGACAGACAGACAGACTATAGACAGACACACTATAGACAGACAGACAGACATGCACACTATAGACACAGACAGACAGACAAACACACTATAGACACTGACAGACACACACTATACAGACAGACACACACTATAGACAGACAGACACACACTATAGACACAGACAGACACAGACAGACACACTATACAGACAGACACACTATAGACACAGGCAGACACACTATAGACACAGACAGACAGACTATAGAGACAGACAGACAGACTATAGAGACAGACAGACTATAGAGACAGACAGAGAGACACACACTAGAGACAGACAGACACACTATAGACAGACAGACAGACACACTATAGACAGACAGACAGACAGACACTATAGACAGACAGACAGACAGACAGACAGACAGACAGACACACACACTGTAGACAGACAGACAGACAGACAGACAGACAGACAGACAGACACACTATAGACACAGACCGACAGACACACACACTAGACAGACAGACACACTATAGACACAGACAGGCAGACACTATAGACAGACACTACTGCTTTAGCTTCACAGAAGACAGATCCTTCAAGGGTCCGCTTCCCACTTGCCTTTTACTTCCTTTAACACCTTTATTTATTGTGGCAGGTAGCAAACACCTGGATGACTTCTATATGATTTCAACCACTGTTAGCATCTTAGCCCACACCACACAAGTGCTTAATTGACCGCTATTTAATTGTTGTAAATATAAATTTAGTATTTTTTTGCAGAAAGGTACCCTGGCTACTCTGGGGTTGTACACTAAAGACTGGTTATGTAGATACGTGTGCATAGGTGTTCTGTACAGGTATGGAGACTATAAAGATTTTAAGGGGTGATGAGTGGTGACCAGGGACAGGATTTGAAGCCCTCTCTCTGAGGTTTGGCTAAGTCTGAGCAACAAGGAAGTACCACTTACTGATAATGTCATTCTGCACGCATCGTCAGCCCAAATGTGGGAACTTCCTTTCTGGTTTGCTTTGAGAAATGTCTAATGGGAGATCTACAGTTTCATTCTTAGCTTCCACTTCTAACTCTATGAGATGAACATTCATTAAAAACTGTTTTAATTGCAGGCTTTCTTCCCAGCTTAGTTGTATGCTTTTTTAATACTGTGGAATCACTGGTGTTAAAATTTGCACAAAAATATATTTAAAAAAGAAATGTGACGTTGTATGTAACTGTATGTGTGTGTGTAAAACTTAAAGTAAACATACATATGTTCTCACAAGCTGTGACACAGGGGTTGCATTAGATAAGGAGAGTTATTCTAGAACACTCACTGAACTTTACTGAAATACTTTGAGACCGTGGAGGGTCAAAGGTCAAATACTAAAACAGGCTCCAGCGGTACTATTGTTTTAAGTACCACAGTTCATGTTGTAATTCTCAATGTCAATATCGATCAGATACACTATAGTCAAATGGTGAGAACAAAACATTGCTTACTGTAGGGCTCAGTGAAGATGTTACATGTTTTTATGTAATGCCAAATTTGTTCTCAATTTATGGCCAAAATTAGTTGGGTGTGTCTACCTCGTATCAGAATAAAAAAGAAAAGAGTTGTGTAGAAGGAAAAAAAGTCTAAACACTACAAGATTCATGTTGGTTTTAATTTACACACTAAAAATGTGTAATGATTATGGACAAACTAGCTCTTCCTTTCTGCTACATTACCATTTTTCAAATTGCAATGCACATTATTACATGTATATACTGTAAAATAAAATCGGTTGGTTTTACATACTGTATAATTGCCTATATTTTGTTTCAAATGTGTAACAGATTTATGAAACTAGTTAACACATTAAAAGAAGGAACTGAAGGCTGTTGTCTGTCGTAGAGAAATATTATGATGGAAATATTGAATCTGTTTCACATGTTATGGTTTGCAAGCTTTGTTTTGTAGATAAGTACAAATATTTTTCAATGGGAAGTAATTGCTAGGCAGGCAATATCATTTGTGTGATGGTTTTTCAGAAATACATTCTTGGTTGGTTATAACGTGCTATATCAAATATTGATTACAACGTAGACTTTTCTTATTTTGTTTAAGTCTTGTCACAATTTCATTTATAAAAAAGTAAATAACTTCACATTAAAAATCAACATTCTTCTATTTTGATTTGAGGGGTAGATATTTATTCCAATCATCTTGATGGCAAATTATAGATCTTTACCTATATTATTGCAGTTCATGAGTATACAGTATTATACAAAATATATTTTCTCCATGGATATTGAGGAGACCTCTAAAATTGAAAACTAGCACTAATTCAAAAACTAAGATACTAAACCTATACAGCATATTTACAGTAGTTATATAAGAAAGGAGTACGTCAGTCTGTTTTGGTCTTCCAGCATGTTTCATATTGTATTGCAGTGTATGTGTGTCTATATACAGTTGAAGTCAGAAGTTTACGTACACTTAGGTTGGAGTCATTAAAACTCGTTTTTCAACCACTACACACATTTCTTGTTTACAAACTATAGTTTTGGCAAGTCGGTTAGGACATCTACTTTGTGCATGACACAAGTAATTTTACCAACAATTGTTTACAGACAGATTATTTCACTTATAATTCACTGTATCACAATTCCAGTTGGTCAGAAGTTTACATACACTAAGTTGACTGTGCCTTTAAACAGCTTGGAAAATTCCAGAAAATGATGTCATGGCTTTAGAAGCTTCTGATAGGCTAATTGACATCGTTTGAGTCAATTGGAGGTGTACCTGTGGATGTATTTCAAGGCCTACCTTCAAACTCGGTTCCTCTTTGCTTGACATCATAGGAAAATCAAAACAAATCAGCCAAGACCTCAGAAAAAAAAATGTAGACCTCCACAAGTCTGGTTCATCCTTGGGAGCAATTTCCAAACACCTGAAGGTACCACGTTAATCTGTACAAACAATAGTACGCAAGCATAAACACCATGGGACCACGCAGCCGTCATACCGCTGAGGAAGGAGACGCGTTCTGTCTCCTAGAGATGAACGTACTTTGGTGCGAAAAGTGCAAATCAATCCCAGAACAACAGCAAAAGACATTGTGAAGATGCTGGAGGAAACGGGTACAAAAGTATCTATATCCACAGTAAAACAAGTCCTATATCGACATAACCTGAAAGGCCGCTCAACAAGGAAGAAGCCACTGCTCCAAAACCGCCATAAAAAAGCCAGACTACGGTTTGCAACTGCACATGGGGACAAAGATCGTACTTTTTGGAGAAATGTCCTCTGGTCTGATGAAACAAAAATAGAACTGTTTGGCCATAATGACCATCGTTATGTTTGGAGGAAAAAGGGGCCGGCTTGCAAGCCGAAGAACACCATCCCAACCGTGAACCACGGGGGTGGCAGCATCATGCTGTGGGGGTGCTTTGCTGCAGGAGAGACTGGTGCACTTCACAAAATAGATGGCATCATGAGGAAGGAAAATTATATGGATATATTGAAGCAACATCTCAAGACATCAGTCAGGAAGTTAAAGCTTGGTCGCTAAAGGGTCTTCCAAATGGACAATGACCCCAAGCATACTTCCAAAGTTGTGGCAAAATGGCTTAAGGACAACAAAGTCAAGGTTTTAGAGTGGCCATCACAAAGTCCTGACCTCAATCCTATAGAAAATGTGTGGTTAGAACTGAAAAGGCGTGTGCGAGCAAGGAGGCCTACAAACCTGACTCAGTTACACCAGCTCTGTCAGGAGGAATGGGCCAAAATTCACCCAACTTATTGTGGGAAGCTTGTGGAAGGCTACCCGAAACATTTGACCCAAGTTAAACAATTTAAAGGCAATGCTACCAAATACTAATTGAGTGTATGTAAACTTCTGACCCACTGGGAATGTGATGAAAGAAATAAAAGCTGAAATAAATAATTCTCTCTACTATTATTCTGACATTTTATATTCTTAAAATAAAGATGTTATCCTAACTGACCTAAAACAGGGAAGTTTTACTAGGATTAAATGTCAGGAATTGTGAAAAACTGAGTTTAAATGTATTTGGCTAAGGTGTATGTAAACTTCCGACTTCAACTGTATAGCCTGTCATTTCGCTTAGAAGTGTGTGTGCGTTATCAAAGCACCTATTTGAAGCCTTTCTCAGACCACTGTGTTTATTTGTGGTGCGGTTCTAGTCACACTTCACACGGCAGTGCCACGGTCGATGGCTAGGTGGGCGACTCTTGGGGTATTGCCTGGCCTTTGCTCACTGCAGTTCTGACTTTCTGGCTTATCGTTGTCCTTTTCCCCTCCACCCGACCTAGAGGACACACAGTATAGATGAGGTTACTGCACCGCTAATATGCTGAAGAATCTGGATACACCATACAGCATTACTTGAGTAATTCCAGCATCTGTTTAACAAGCATTGTTTATTCCTAGCTCCTGTAAATAAATGGTGCTGTAAAGTGCTCTTGATACAAGAGGAGAGATGTTCACAGCACGACTTGTCAGACGAACATTGTCTATCGAAACTTGAAAAATTGTAAAACGTTAAAGCTTTCAAGCCTTATTTGTGGCATACTAAATTCTTTTTCTACGTAAACACTAAATGGAAATTGGTTTAGTGGTGAGTTTTTTTGTTTACTGACAGTGTCAAATAAGGTGTAGGATGATGTTGGCTTTCTGAATTTGATACTGCCAATAATGTTCTGTTTTGGTCAGAATTTCCAGCATGTATTACTTTTTCTTGAAGAGCTTCTTGAAAGAGCTCCTGAATCCTCCCTTCTCCTGTTTCCGGCTCCTCTCACTGAAGGGAATGTGGTTATTCCCCCCAGCCTTCCATCTTGGCTCCTCCCCCCAGGGTGGGCTCCCAGAGTCCTACGTAAAGGAGTAACATTTGTTGAAAATACACCCAGTGTTCTATAACAATATCACACATACAGTGGGGAAAAAAAGTATTTAGTCAGCCACCAATTGTGCAATTTCTCCCACTTAAAAAGATGAGAGAGGCCTGTAATTTTCATCATAGGTACACGTCAACTATGACAGACAAATTGAGGTAAAAAAATCCAGAAAATCACATTGTAGGATTTTTTATGAATTTATTTGCAAATTATGGTGGAAAATAAGTATTTGGTCACCTACAAACAAGCAAGATTTCTGGCTCTCACAGACCTGTAACTTCTTTAAGAGGCTCCTCTGTCCTCCACTCGTTACCTGTATTAATGGCACCTGTTTGAACTTGTTATCAGTATAAAAGACACCTGTCCACAACCTCAAACAGTCACACTCCAAACTCCACTATGGCCAAGACCAAAGAGCTGTCAAAGGACACCAGAAACAAAATTGTAGACCTGCACCAGGCTGGGAAGACTGAATCTGCAATAGGTAAGCAGCTTGGTTTGAAGAAATCAACTGTGGGAGCAATTATTAGGAAATGGAAGACATACAAGACCACTGATAATCTCCCTCGATCTGGGGCTCCACGCAAGATCTCATCCCGTGGGGTCAAAATGATCACAAGAACGGTGAGCAAAAATCCCAAAACCACACCGGGGACCTAGTGCATGACCTGCAGAGAGCTGGGACCAAAGTAACAAAGCCTACCATCAGTAACACACTACGCCGCCAGGGACTCAAATCCTGCAGTGCCAGACGTGTCCCCCTGCTTAAGCCAGTACATGTCCAGGCCCGTCTGAAGTTTGCTAGAGTGCATTTGGATGATCCAGAAGAGAATTGGGAGAATGTCATATGGTCAGATGAAACCAAAATATAACTTTTTGGTAAAAACTCAACTCGTCGTGTTTGGATGACAAAGAACGCTGAGAACACCATACCTACTGTGAAGCATGGGGGTGGAAACATCATGCTTTGGGGCTGTTTTTCTGCAAAGGGACCAGGACGACTGATCCGTGTAAAGGAAAGAATGAATGGGGCCATGTATCGTGAGATTTTGAGTGAAAACCTCCTTCCATCAGCAAGGGCATTGAAGATGAAACGTGGCTGGGTCTTTCAGCATGACAATGATCCCAAACACACCGCCCGGGCAACGAAGGAGTGGCTTCGTAAGAAGCATTTCAAGGTCCTGGAGTGGCCTAGCCAGTCTCCAGATCTCAACCCCATAGAAAATCTTTGGAGGGAGTCGAAAGTCTGTGTTGCCCAGCGACAGCCCCAAAACATCACTGCTCTAGAGGAGATCTGCATGGAGGAATGGGCCAAAATACCAGCAACAGTGTGTGAAAACCTTGTGAAGACTTACAGAAAACGTTTGACCTGTGTCATTGCCAACAAAGGGTATATAACAAAGTATTGAGAAACTTTTGTTATTGACCAAATACTTATTTTCCACAATAATTTGCTAATAAATTCATTAAAAATCCTACAATGTGATCTTCTGGAATTTTTTTCCTCATTTTGTCTGTCATAGTTGACGTGTACCTATGATGAAAATTACAGGCCTCTCTCATCTTTTTAAGTGGGAGAACTTGCACAATTGGTGGCTGACTAAATACTTTTTTTCCCCACTGTATAGTACATAGTCACAAATGGCCCACAAATTGACACACTCAAACCTCCCAGCAGGCCATAGTACTCTCACATTCATGTCTATGGCTGATCAGCTCTCTTCCATCTAAAAAAAAAATAAACAACCTTAGGGCTCCTCATAAACTCAACCCCATTGCTTGTTAACTGTGGCCTCCATCCATCCACTTCCTGATGCCCACCTTGTTGTGGTGGTTGTGTAGCTCCTCGTCAGTGACTGCTATCTGTCTTTCTGGCTCTGCTGTGTGCTGCGGGGGGCTGATGGGGTTGTTGCAGCTCTGGCCCTTGCTTCTGCGTGGGTGATATCTATTACTGGACTGCCTCTCCAGCTTGGCGTGTTGGTGGGCCCTGTGGTCAGAGAGATGTCCGGGGCCACTGTCCCCACTCACGGTGCTGTCCAGCTGCAACCCGTTCAGGGACTTGCTCTTACGCTGAGAGGCCTGCAGGGGGCGGTGGTGGTGAACGCTCGTCATTCCGGCCTCGTCTGGAGACACACACCCCCGACCAGGCAGCTGCTTGTACCCGCTCTCCCGGCTGCCCTCGCTGTTGTGGACCTCACGGACGGCCTGGTGGCTCTTGGGGTAGCGCACAATGGCGATGTCGATGCTAGAGTCGGAGGAAGCGCTGGAGCATTGGTCAAACATGGACATGTTGTGAAGGGACGAGTTTGTTTCCTCATACAGCCCCTCCAAGCCCGGGGCATCCCCAGGGAGAAGGAACTCCCCCAGGTCATCGGCCATGGCTGAGCCCGGGGACTGCCGTTTGCTGGGCAGCCACTCTGATGACCCCATCTCAGGGATGCTCTGCAGGCCAGGGGGTTTGAGGCGAACGTCGGTGTCAGGGGATAAAAACGGGATGGCAGAGTCGGCGTGGTGGGCCTCGCTCTCCCAGTCCTGGAAGCGTGTAGACTGGATCTGCTCCAGGAGCTGCTGCTTGCTGCGTTTCACCTGGTTGGCATGCTCTCTGTGAGGGGAGAGGGGGAGACTGTCAGTGGGACAGACAGAGAGTTAGTGCATGAAGAAATGCATGAAGGACTGACTGCTAATATGAATGTCTGAGTGTAGTCAGACCATAACTCACAGTATTGCATTGCTGCTGGGGTAAGGAGAGCCCATCTCATTGGCTTGCATAACGTTACCACAGTCCACGTTTTTGAAGAACTGCTTCATAGTTGACCTGCAAAAAGAAAGGAACTATATTTAGCCCCGCAAGGAGCTTCTTCTTCTTTATATGGTCACATTCACAGCAGAATGTCTGAAGTATACCATCACAGTTCACTGTCCTCAGACCAGTTAATCTGAACCCTGTTTCCCATCTGCACACTCTTACCAAAACACAAAATCTGAGCCTGGATCAGAAGCTGACCTCTTGAGCTCCTTGCGGTTGTGCAGGAGCAGCTCTTGGTTGTGCTGCAGTAGGTGGGCGTACTGGACGGTGAAGTCTCTGAACTGCTGGATACACACCAGCAGCAGGTAGTAGTCAGGGTGCTCTGCATCCGTCTGCTTCAACAGGGTCTGAAACCAAACCAGGCCACACAGGGACGCTATGGACTCATGTGAACCTAGCATTAACCAGTTCATACAGTCAGTTAACCCAGAACTACAGACTTGCGTAATTGGTCAGATGTTCGATTAAGTTCTGGGTCCATACATGTTAATAGAAGAGATTAAGAGATGCTACAACGAGGAGTAGAACTTGAACGAGGAGCTCCACCCTCTCTCTTTGCAAGTCTATGGGCTGAATGCCCCCCCACCCCTGACGAAATTCGAAAGATGCTAACGCCTGCGAAATTGGGACTTGTCTAAATAACCAGTGACGAAAAACCCAAGTACCAGAACTATTGCTGCTCGTTAGCTATCAGTTCCCATAGTATAAAGACAGATCTAAGATCTATGGTACGATTTAAGTTTACGTAGTCTGCCCACGAGAGATTATCACCACTCTGATTTGAGATACTATGATTTGAGATACTATGATTTAAGATACTATGATGGTGAAGGCAGCTCTTTCCAAACACCTATGTTGGGTTGGTGATGTACTGGATGTATGTATCAGATGCGAGTGTCATGGAGGGGAGAGAGCCTAACCTGCAGCAGCAGAAGGTACTCAGGGATCCTCTGTACTGGCTGGAGGAGCAGAGTGTGGAGAGAGGGGCGTGTCTCATCCCCCATGATGTCACCCTGGAACATCAGACAGTAAATCAGAGAAGAGACAGTCAGTTGACATAAGTCTCCACAGAAATCATGTGAAATCAATTGTCCAGAAAGGTTATCCTGTAATAAAGGCTGTGAGTATAATGTCATAAAAAAACTAAGTCATAATAAACTTCACTCAGGTCTACTTGTCATGTGCTCGTTGTTAATTGAAAGAGATTTACTCAACGATAACTCTAACAGGATTTCCTGAAGTAACCCTTTCCTTCTGGATAACGGCACTATTGTGACTACTTCTCTGCAGGTAGCTCTATGCGGGTAGCTCTGTGCGGGTAGCTCTATGCAGTTGTTGCGGTTAACACTGCCTGGTTGGTCAGTGTTCCTAGTTTACCTCAAACAGGCCGGCTGCTTTTAGTGAGGTGGTGGTCAACATGCTGACCACAGACAGACATTCAGGCAGCTCCTTAAGATACGACACGTAGAAGTCCAGGAAATCACTCTGTAGAAGACCGGCAAGATGGAGAATTAGAGACAGACAGACGGTCAGACAGTCATTGAAACTCAGTAGATAGAGAAATGATCAGGAACATAAACAGAGAGACACAATCTATCCCCCCCCCCCCCCCCCCCCCCCCAATCCCCACATCTCTCCTGAGTATCACATGTGATTCATTTGAAGTGCTCCAGATGTGACACTGTGATTGGTGAGAAGAATGCACTGAGTCACAGCCTTCCCCCTGGACAGTCTCCTCTGGGGCCACTAACTCCTAATCCAACCATTTAACTAATTTCCCTCTTTCAATCAGTCCCACCCACTTAAACACACATTGGTCCTAATACAAGTATCACCTAATAGGCTGGAAACTGTATGTTAGGAGTTATGTAGTTTGCAGGCAGCCTGTGACACCATAACTAGAGCCCTGAGTTTCTCCAGGTCAGGTTAAGAAAACTCAGGGGCCCTAGCCATGACTTCATGGGTCACTTGTGTCTGTGAAAGGTTTGTACCTCTTTGCTGGTGAGCCTCATGAATACATCTCCCATGATGCCCTGCCACTGGCACTTGAGCACCCTCTCCTGCAGGGTATGGAGCAGCTCCAGGTGTTGCTGGATGAGGAAACGTAAAGAACTGGGGAACGGCCTGGAGAGAGAAAGACGAGGTAGATATAACACACATCACATTACACTGCCAGGAGAGAGGTACAGAACAGAGCAACATGCAGCCATCTAGAGAGCAGTTTAAAAGACAATTTTATATGGTAATGGAAAGAATGTTGAGAGGGCAGAAAGGGAGAGAGAGAGGGGAACCGGAACGCAGGTGCTACTGGGAAGGCAATGCATTGAGGTGGGAAAACAGATCAAACAGAGTGAAAATATACACAGTCCAGTTGACAAAGGCACAAACAGAACTGGAGAAATGTGAAAAGATATGGAGAATGGATGGATGAAAGAGAGGGAAATAGACGCGGATAACTACCGAAAGAGACAAAGGAGAGGACAGAGATGAAATTATGGAACTGAAAGATGCCTTTAAACATGATGGTGTTTGTAGACAGATTACTGAGGTAAATTGACCAATATTTTTGTTGTAATACTGGGAGTAGTAATAGCAGTGTTAGTAACAGTCATAGCATGCTAATAGTAGCTGTAATTTATATTTTGTTGTATTCATGGTTGAACTGTGGGTGACAGACTCCCTACTCTGGAACACAGATGATCAACTGTTCTGCCACTGGGCACTTACGAACACACACATGACCTCACACACAGGCATAGACTAGTGATGCACAATCAGCGAGCAGAAAGATTGCATTTTGATCGGTTGGCTGACAACAGTTTCACCAAAGAAACATTATACCTCATTGCTCTTATTAGTGTTAATTGAGATTAACCAGATGAAGAGACACACTCCAAAGGTCAGAGGTTATGAATGAGGGAAACATTTTAGTGTACATAACTGGGGGAGAGCTCCTCTCTGAAAGACAGAGTTTAAAATGTAGTGTTCAGATGTCTCTGTGTACTCCAGATAAACAGGGATTACATTGTCAGATCTCTCTGTGGAGTCCTTTAAAATGCCTCTGAATGGCTGCTTTATTCAATATATTCATTTCCTCACTCTTTTATAATGTCCTCCTGACTGTAATTAGATCGGTATCTCCTGTTTAAGCCCCTGTGTCGATGAGTTGCGTGCCTGTGCCAAAGACGAGGGTACTCTTTGTTATATTTACGAACCGAACCAAGGACAATGTTGAGAGCAACAGTTATAACTTATTCTGCTTTCATGAGTCATAGTGCACAATTAAACCCTAACCCTAAACCCTAAAGCTGAATTCATAGTGCACTATTAAACCCTAACGCTAAAGCTGAATTCAGTACATATTAAACCCTAACCCTAAAGCTGAATTCATAGTGCACTATTAAACCCTAACCCTAAATCTGAATTCATAGTGCACTATTAAACCCTAACCCTAAATCTGAATTCATAGTGCACTATTAAACCCTAACCCTAAATCTGAATTCATAGTGCACTATTAAACCCTAACCCTGAATCTGAATTCATAGTGCACTATTAAACCCTAACCCTAAATCTGAATTCATAGTGCACTATTAAACCCTAACCCTAAATCTGAATTCATAGTGCACTATTAAACCCTAACCCTAAATCTGAATTCATAGTGCACTGGCCCATTGTGAAATGTTTACGAGCCTCATTTAAGCTTGGACATATGTAATAGCGATCCGGTGGCTCTGCTGCTGTGAACTTTAACAAAACAGTTCAGCCACAGTGTTGCTACCACATCGTATATAGAATGTGGTACAGTACCGTTTGTCTTTGGTGTGGAGGGCCTCTGAGCTGTTGAAGGTTATGTTGGCTTTCAGCAGCAGAGACAGGTATGACACATAGACCCTTTCTGACTCCAACAGCTCTAGGGCAGCCACCTGCCTCTTACCTGACAAACACACACACAAAAACACGCACGCAAACACACACACGTGCGCACGCACGCAAACACAGACACACACGCGCACGCACGCACACACACAGTCACACACACGCGCGCACATGCACGCACACACACACAGTCACGCACAAACACACACACAGAGTGAAAAAGAAGCACCACACTGACATATACAGTTGAAGTCAGAAGTTTACATACACTTAGGTTGAGTCATTAAAACTTGTTTTTCAACCACTCCACACATTTCTTTTTAACAAACTATAGTTTGGGCAAGTCGGTTAGGACATCTACTTTGTGCATGACACAAGTAATTTTTCCAACAATTGTTTACAGACAGATTATTTCACTTATAATTCACTGTATCACAATTCCAGTGGGTCAGAAGTTTACATACACTAAGTTGACTGTGCCTTTAAACAGCTTGGAAAATTCCAGAAAATGATGTCATGGCTTTTGAAGCTTCTGATAGGCTAATTGACATAATTTGAGTCAATTGGAGGTGTACCTGTGGATGTATTTCAAGGCCTACCTTCAAACTCAGTGCCTCTTTGCTTGACATCCTGGGAAAATCAAAAGAAATCAGCCAAGACCTCAGAAAAAAAATGGTAGACCTCCACAAGTCTGGTTCATCCTTGGGAGCAATTTCCAAACCATTGAAGGTACCACGTTAATCTGTACAAACAATAGTACGCATGTATAAACACCATGGGACCACGAAGCCGTCATACCGCTCAGGAAGGAGACGCGTTCTGTCTCCTAGAGATGAACGTACTTTGGTGCGAAAAGTGCAAATCAATCCCAGAACAACAGCAAAGGACCTTGTGAAGATGCTGGAGAAAACAGGTACAAAAGTATCTATATCCACAGTAAAACGAGTCCTATATCGACATAACCTGAAAGGCCGCTCAGCAAGGAAGAAGCCACTGCTCCAAAACCGCCATAAAAAAGCCAGACTACGGTTTGCAAATGCACATGGGGACAAAGATCGTACTTTTTGGAGAAATGTCCTCTGGTCTGATGAAACAAAAATAGAACTGTTTGGCCATAATGACCATCGTTATGTTTGGAGGAAAAAGGGGGTTGCTTGCAAGAACACCATCCCAACCCTGAAGCACGGGGGTGGCAGCATCATGCTGTGGGGGTGCTTTGCTGCAGGAGAGACTGGTGCACTTCACAAAATAGATGGCATCATGAAGAAGGAAAATTATGTAGATATATTGAAGCAACATCTCAAGACATCAGTCAGGAAGTTAAAGCTTGGTCGCAAATAGGCCTTCCAAATGGACAATGACCCCAAGCATACTTCCAAAGTTGTGGCAAAATGGCTTAAGGACAACAATGTCAAGGTATTGGAGTGGTCATCACAAAGCCCTGACGTCAATCCTATAGAAAATGTGTGGGCAGAACTGAAAAAGCGTGTGCGAGCAAGGAGGCCTACAAACCTGACTCAGTTACACCAGCTCTGTCAGGAGGAAGGGCCAAAATTTCACCCAACTTATTGTGGGAAGCTTGTGGAAGGCTACCCAAAACGTTTGACCCAAGATAAACAATTTAAAGGCAATGCTACCAAATACTAATTGAGTGTATGTAAACTGCTGACCCACTGGGAATGTGATGAAAGAAATAAAAGCTGAAATAACTCATTCTCTCTACAATTATTCTGACATTTCACATTCTTAACATAAAGTGGTGATCTTAACTGACCTAAAACAGGGAATTTTTACTAGGATTAAATGTCAGGAATTGTGAAAAACTGAGTTTAAATGTATTTGGCTAAGGTGTATGTAAACTTCCGACTTCAACTGTACTTTTTACACAGCTGTGACCTACAGTATTACATTTGAATTTGTCTATTGACTGCTAAATAATTTCATGTAGGGGTCTGTGCTGTAACAAGGGAATAAGTCACTGACGCGTGTAACGTCAGCGGTGATGTCACTCACCGTTCTCTGGCACTCTCTGTGCGTCTGTGTCGTCCCGGCTCTCTTTCCTTTCTCTCCACACTGGAGACTTGGACTGACCCCTCTGGGGCTGGCCACTGGCTGCCTCCTGCTCTGAGGCTGCACCACACAGTACACACAGTGAGAAAACACAAGCTTTTGCCATTCGATTCCACTGTCTTTCCTGTGCTGTAAACATCCCTATACTGCCCTCGGGTATTTGAGTCAGCTGAGGCAAGTACGTTCAATGACTTTCATGAATAGGTCTTTAAGGACCAGCTAGTCAATACAATCAATGACACATACAGGACCGGCTATGAATGTCTGTCCCTCAGAGGCATAACTCACTCTGTGTGGAGGCTGTGCTCCTCTGTGGAGAGCCGCTGGGCAGGCTGGCAAAGTAATGCTGGATGACGTTGAGCTCTGTCTGGTTGGAGAGACACCCATGGCCCTCCCCAGTGCAGTCCCCTTTGGAGCTTTTCCTGACAAAACCAAGGGGAAGCAACAGAGAGTGGTGAGTTCACGTCAGGTGATGATGCAACGTGTGTCTGAATGTTCATGCATGCAACGTGTCTCAGTGTCACGTACCTCTGTTGAACAGACAGGATCTCTCTGCCGGTCTCTGATTGGAGGAGCTCCAGGCCTTTCTGTAGCTCTTTCTGTCTGCTGCTAACCTCTTTGATCTGGGTTAGAGCACCGCTCAGGTCCTCCTGAACACAAGCACCACATACAGCACAATCACATCACTACGATATCTAGCTACGTTCACCACATGTACCACAGAGTAACATACTGTAATACTTTGTGTTAGGCATCCTGCTAGAATTGCTAGAGACTGATACTGGTTTTACTGTAGTCCACTTTTTTTACTGTAGTCCACTTTTTTACTGTAGTCCACCGTAATCCACTTTACAAGCGTTTCGCTACACCCGCAATAATATCTGCTAAGTATGTGTATGTGACCAATACGATTTGATTTGATTTGATGGTATGATAAGAATGGCAAACAGGCAAATCTTTGGTATCAGATATCAGTGAGGTTCGTTCAAGTCATGTGGGAAGTGGGGTACCTTAAAAGTGTTGAGAGAGTTCCTGATTCCCATGATCCTGTCATCCACGTCGCTCTGATGGCCCTGGGCCATCTCCTCCAGACCCCTGTCCCTCTGCTGCAGCGCAGACACGTCCTGTAACACCCCCTGCAGCCCTGTACGCAGCTCCGCCACCAAGGCTTGCAGCTGGAACACCAGGTCAGAGGTTAGGGGTCAGGATGTAGTTACTATATCGATGGTTGTTTGTGACATTACTAATGGCTCCAGAATGTTCATAACATACTGTAACTACATTGGTTCTGTATGTTGGGGTGAATAAATTACTTGGAGAAATGAGCAGCTGTTTTGACAAAGAAAGAGTAGAGGAGAAAAGGAAGGATGAGAGAAGGAAGATGGGGAAATGAAAGAGAAAAGAAGGAGGGAGTTGAGAGTGATGACAGAGGACCAGGAGAGAAAAGGAGAGTAGAAACGGGAGGTGAGAGTGCTGGGGAATAAGATGACAGAGGACCGGGAGAGAAAAGGAGAGTAGAAACGGGAGGTGAGAGTGCTGGGGAATAAGATGACAGAGGACCAGGAGAGAAAAGGAGAGTAGAAACGGGAGGTGAGAGTGCTGGGGAATAAGATGACAGAGGACCAGGAGAGAAAAGGAGAGTAGAAACGGGAGGTGAGAGCTAACCGAGACTGACGGTGAGTCTATTGAACATTCCTGCTTAATTTGGACTTCTTGGAGATCAATGTTCTCCCCATGCAGTCCTCACCAGCAGCTTCCTGTCCTGTAGTGTCTGTGAATCTCTCACTGCAGCCATGCGTGGCCCAGCAGTTAACCTATCAGAGGTCAGCGAGGTCACAGCTCATTTTGGCACAGGGTTTGTTTCCAACAAGGCTCTCCACTGAGTCACATTATCCTCCTTATTTTATCATTGTTGTTGTTGTTTGGAGAGTGTCCCAATTTCTCATTTTTTCCCTCCAGTTAGAGGCAAGCTTTTTTCTCTCTCTGTCTCTAGTGTAGCGGCCGTTCTTAGGCTGTGGAGATTTATTGAATTTAGTCTACAGAGATAATTGAATCAGCTCATGTGAACAGACAGGGATTCAGGCTGTTGCCCACCCCTCTCAGCTCCTCTCCTCTTCACTCCTCTCCCCTTCACGCCTATCCTCCACTCCTCTTCTCTACTCTCCTCTTCACTCATCTCCCCTTCGCGCCTCTCCTCTTCACTCCTCTCCTTTCCTTTCCTTTCCTTTCCTTTCCTCTCCTCAACACTCCCCTACTCTACTCTACTCTCATCTCCTCTACTCTCCTCTATTCTACTCTCATCTCCTCTTCACTCCCCTACTCTACTCTACTCTCCTCTCATCTACTCTCCTCTCATCTACTCTCCTCTCCTCTACTCTCATCTACTCTACTCTACTTTTACCTCCTCTCCTCTCCTCTCCTCTCCTCTCCTCTCCTCTCCTCTCCTCTCCTCTCCTCTCCTCTACTTTCCTCTACTTTCCTCTCCTCTCCTCTCCTCTACTTTCCTCTCCTCTACTCTACTCTCCTCTACTCTACTCTCATCTACTCTCCTCTCCTCTACTCTCATCTACTCTGCTCTGCTCTCATCTACTCTCCTCTCCTCTGCTCTCATCTACTCTCCTCTACTTTCCTCTCCTCTACTCTCCTCTGCTCTCCTCTACTCTCCTCTACTCTCCTCTACTTTCCTCTCTTCTCCTCTCCTCTCCTCTCCTCTCCTCTCCTCTCCTCTCCTCTCCTCTCCTCTCCTCTCCTCTCCTCTCCTCTCCTCTCCTCTCCTCTCCTCTCCTCTCCTCTCCTCTCCTCTCCTCTAGTCTGTGGATCAGTCATGTGAAAGCCATCCGGCTGCAGATTCAATATGGCTGCTGCCCTTCTACAGATGTACAGATCGTATTACTGTGCAATACCTTGCCTCTGCTCACTACTTTAGACTGCGTAGCAGTACATACACAACACATACCTTATAGCAATGCAACACTGTCAGTGTATTGTATTGTACTTTACAGCTGTCCAGTACTGTTATGATATTTTACATCTATGTAGCACTGTGTTAGAACATACTGTATACTAGTTCAATGATATACATATAAGATTAGAGACAGGCCGTAGTCAAGGCTATTTCCATTTCTCTGGCAGTGTTTATTCAGATCCCCATTAGCTTTTGCAGAAGCAGCAAAATATGACAAGTAACAAAACACTGATAGACCGATAGACAAGGACAGACACACACATTTAAAATACAACCATATACAAACAATACAATGTAGTTTTGATCCTACATACTGTACACAGGCAGCGCTGTCTCTTGGAAAGGGACTGACTATAGAGCTGGTTACCTGAGCAATTTCCAGGTCGGCCTCCTCCATTTCCTGCTCTTGTTCTAGAAGTCAAGACCATCAGTTAATCACACATCGTTATGGACTTACAGTAGCTCCCTGTCACTCACACATCACTATGGAGATCATCCTCAGGTACTCAGACACAAACCATTCTTTGGAGATACAGATCAAAATAGACAAAGACAAATCATATAGTCATGTGGGATGTCCAACACAACATCTCTCTATGCAGCCTATGCACAGTAAATCATGTAAGAGAAAACCATTACAAGTTAGCCAAACACTGAAATTCTACATGTAATGGTAAGGTAGAAAAGGATTGTGTGTCATCAGACAATCAAACAATTGTTCCATAATGGAAATACCCTACTGTATTAAGAGTCTGTTTCTGTTCAAATGCCAAATGTCCAAACTGCGAGCAACATCGTAAAGGTCATTTTGAATGTCTGCTTGTCATGCATTATGCATTTGAGCTTGTGCTGGAATTACATATTCTGAGCAGGAATACTGCAAAATTCCTGAAAGAACAACACTGTAGACGCAAATTCATGACAACCAACTTTCAAGTAAAATGTAAGTCCTTCCAATGGTTGTATCACTTAAGAGTCAGTACCCAGCTAGCATGTTCTGAGAACCATATGTTACCAACTGTTGCAATAACTGTCCATCAACAACTTGTTTCATAAAAACTGTTAATTTGTCCAAGTAACCAGTTCAAAAGACATACAACAATCATTGTTACTCACAGCACACCTAAGATATTTATCAACAACAGTGTTTTACTGTAGCCTCTCTCTGTACTTTGTGACTACCGCCAAATCAGAAAATCAACCATATTGGTGATACCTGTACTGTAGGTGACATCTTGGTTATATAAGCAGAAATTACCTTCTGACTTGCCGTTTTCCATGGTTCCTGTGCCCACCTGCCTAGTCAAGTAACAGGGTTGTGTAGTTTTACCGTTCAAGGCACACCTCTGTTCTGTCCTCCTCCTGAACACTGCCCTGCGATCCCTCGCTCTAAACCATGAGTTTGATGATCCTCCACACAAAAAGGGCCCTTGTGGAATGATGGAGGGAGAGGTCAAACAGAGAGAGAGAAGAAGAAAAAGAGGGGGAGAGCTAGAGGGCTTTTGACAGTCCTTCATGAGGAGAAAATTGGACAGCTGATTCGATTTCCCCTTACCCTGAAAGTCAAATGTTGTAGGAAAGATAACCAAAACAGAGCTGTGACACAGGATTTGGTTATATATATATTATTTGGCTCAGGAGGGTGACATGCAAAAGGTAGTCAGGATATGGCTCTGTGATTCCATACAATTATTTGGCCAAGTTTACTTAAAGACTGTGTGTATGTTACTGTTCGAAACAATGATGTATGGTGTGCTTCAATGTGTGTGTTGTGTGTTATGCTTGCAATTAAGTAGGCCTACTGCACGTGATGTTGTAGTATATTCGTACATTTATTTGTTTGTGTGTATGCCTTTTGGATTCACTCATACACACACAAGGATTCCCATTTCCCCAATGTTGTGTAAATCATCAGTGTGTCAGTGAGGTCAGTCTCGCTAGTTGGGTGAACGTTTCTACTGTAGCCGGTGAGGTTATTATCCGTCAGTGTTGTGTGAGTCAGTGTGATTATGTGCCCATGTGATGCCGCCGGGCACAGTTTCTCAGATCTCACACTCCCATTTCTCTGAATGTTGAACTCATGGTGGGCCACGCTTGGCTGATGTTATCTGACTCTGAAGAGAACACCATGCTGAGGCAGGAGCGCATGCAACTCTTGGCCATTGCAGCAATGCATTCCACATTCTGTCATATTAAAGTGAGCCTGTGACTTGTTGGAGGCCCACGTGAGGGGTGATGTTGGACGAATACATTTACATCCATATTTGGTCTCTTACAGTACATTTATCATTTAGCTGTCATTTCAGATATACATTTCAGATATACAGTACATTAATATGGCTCCTGTGTTACTGTCCAGGAGTTAATGCTAATCATTCCTCCCTCAGCTGGCTGCCCAGCTAGCACATAACGTTCTGAGAACCATATGTTTCTTAGAGCTTGGTGAGGTCGTGGTTGTCCTATGGTTATTTAGCATACAACCTTCCCACAACTTTCTGGGAATGGTGCAGGATAGTTGCTTGGCTTTGGCACGTTCTCAGCACATTTAAGGAACTTGACAAAAAAAAAGTTCAAACATGGTAACATTTAATTTGAGGAATGTTCTAGGAACATTCTCCAACTGGGTTGACATTGGGAATGTTCTCAAATAGACTTGAAGATCACTGACGTCATCATGATTCGACCTTGTATTTTTCCAAGTTCCCAGTTGTCTTTAGAATGCCAGACTTTGAGGACAAAGTTTGCCTGCGAAGGACTGCCGCGCCACCTTCCTGTTCAAGTGAGCACAGCACAACAAGATGAGTCCAAAAATTTCTTGTATGCTGCTGCATAAATGATGTAATATGCCAGGGAGATATGTATACTGTAGCTAAGAAACTAATACTAAGTGTATGTTGTGTAGTAAGCCGTTAGTAGCCCATGTGCCTCACCCTAATAATTTTGGTATATTTTCCCCTCTTAATTTCACCTACTGTTCTGACTTGGTGGTGCACATGTAGCCTATAACCTGTTTTAGAGAAATGTAATCATCGAATATTGTAAGAGCTTTCATTGTCTGCTTATATGCCCCCTTTATTTATCCTACGGTTCTGACTTGGTGTACAGGGAGAACACTGTATGAACGGCCCATGTTCTGAATTCTGTTGCTGTACATTTCAAAAGTGCTGAACAAATGGTTATATTGACTACGTCCGTCCTAGCTCGCTCATTAATGTCTTAATCAACATTACGGATTGCCTCTTATCCGCTTGTCATCCCCTTATGCCATAGTTTGTACATCTCAATTGTCAGTAGAAACCACATTTGTTTAAGCAAGTCAGCCATATCAGCTATGTTTTTTTAAAAGGCAGTAAGTGAGGCTGAATTAACTGATAGCCAGGTGTAGCGGTGGTAAGGTGTTAGGACTGCTGTTGGGACTCTGCTGTTGGGACAGCTTTATGTAGATCCTAACAGTTTGTGGGCACCGTTTGTCACCGTTATAGTGCAGTTAATGTATTGTTTAGTGTTGTGTTGTGTAGTGGCTTTGCTGGCATGCATCCCCCAATTATTTTATTTTTTGCCCCACCAAGATTTACATGCTAAAATCGCCACTGGGTAGGCCACACAAGCTCACAGAACGGAACCGGCGAGTGCTGAAGCGTGTAACGCATAATAATTGTCTGTCCATGTTTGCAACACTCATTACCAAGTTCCAAACTGCCTCTGGAAGCAACGTCAGCACAAGAACTGTTCGTCGGGAGCTTCATGAAATGGGTTTCCATGGCCGAGCTGCCGCACACAAACCTAAGATTACCATGCGCAATGCCAAGTGTCGGCTGGAGTGGTGTAAAGCTCGCTGCCATTGGACTCTGGAGCAGTGGAAACGCGTTCTCTGGAGTAATGAATCACGCTTCACCATCTGGCAGTCCAACGGACGAATCTGGGTTTGGCGGATGCCAGGAGAACGCTACCTGCCCCAATGAATCGTCTGGGGCTGTTTTTAATGGTTCGGGCTAAGCCCCTTAGTTCCAGTGAAGGGAAATCTTAACGCTACAGCATACAATTACATTTTAGACAATTCTAGACAAACTTTGTGGCAACAGTTTGGGGAAGGCTCTTTCCTGTTTCAGCATGACAATGCGCCTGCGCACAAAGCGAGGTCCATACAGAAATGGTTTGTTGAGATTGGTGTGGAAGAACTTGACTGACCTGCACAGAGCCTTGACCTCAACTCCATCGAACACCTTTGGGATGAATTGGAACGGCGATTGTGAAACAGGCCTAATCACCCAACATCAGTGCCCGACCTCTCTAACGCTCTTGTGGCTGAATGGAAGCAAGTCCCCGCAGCAATGTTCCAACATCTAGTGGAAAGCCTTCCCAGAAGAGTGGAGGCTGTTATAGCAGCGGGAGGGGCAACTCCATAATTATGGCCATGATTTTGGAATGAGATGTTCGACAAGCAAGTGTCCACATACTTTTGGTCATGTAGTGTACCTTAAAAAAAAGTTAAGGGCATGGATCAGACAACCAGTCAATATCTGGTGTGACCACCATTTGCCTCATGCAGCATGACACATCTCCTTCGCATAGAGTTGATCAGACTGTGGATTGTGGCCTGAGGAATGTTGTCCCACTCCTCTTCAATGGCTATGCGAAGTTGTTGGATATTGGCGGGAACTGGAAGACGCTGTTGTCCATGTCGATCCAGAGCATCCCAAACACGCTCAATGGGTGACATGTCTGGTGAGTATGCAGGACACGGAAGATCTGGGACATTTTCAACTTCCAGGAATTGTGTACTGGTCCTTGCGACCAGTGAGGACCAGGTGATGGCGGCAGATGAATGGCACGACGATGGGTCCCAGGATCTCGTCACGGTTTCGCTGTGCATTCAAATTGCCATCGATAAAATACAATTGTGTTCATTGTCCGTAGTTTATGCCTGTCCGTACCGTAACCCCACCGCCACTATGGGGCACTCTGTTCACAACGTTGACATCAGCAAACCGCTAGCTCACACGACGTCATCTGCCCAGTACAATTGAAACCGGGATTCATCTGCGAATGGGCACACTTCTCCAGCGTACCAGTGGACATCGAAGGTGAGCATTTGCCCACTGAAGTCGGTTACGACACCGAACTGCAGTCAGGTCAAGACCTTGGTGAGGAGGACGAGCATGCAGATGAGCTTCCCTTTGATGGTTTGTGACAGTTTGTGCAGAAATTCTTCAATTGTGCAAACCCACAGTTTAATCAGCTGTCCAAGTGGCTGGTCTCAGACTATCCCGCAGGTGAAGAAGCCGGATGTGGAGGTCCTGGGCTGGCATGGTTACACGTGGTCTGCGGTTGTGAGGCCGGTTGGACGTACTGCCAAATTCTCTAAAACGCTGTTGGATGCGGCTTATGGTAGAGAAATTAACATAAAATTATCTGGCAACAGCTCCCTCAAAACTTGAGACATCTGTGGCATTGTGTTGTGTGACAAAACTGCACATTTTAGAGTGGCCTTTTATTGTCCCCAGCACAAGATGATGTTTAATCATATGCCACACCTGTCAGGTGGATGGATTATCTTGTCAAAGGAGAAATGCTCACTATGTCACGATCGTCGTTAGATGCGGACCAAGGCGCAGCGTGATATGCGTACATTTTATTGAAGTACACACACGAACAAAAAACAGCAACCCAAACGATACGTGAAGTCCTAGGTTAACACCAAAACAAACCTTACGGAACAAGATCCCACCATAAACAGTGCCAAACAGGCTGCCTAAGTATGGTCCCCAATCAGAGACAACAAGCTACAGCTGCCTCTGATTGGGAACCACCCTGGCCAACATAGAAATACACGAACTAGAACACAAACCTAGAAAACTAAACAATGAAACCTACACACCCTGGCTCAACATATAAGAGTCCCCAGAGCCAGGGCGTGACACACTAACAGGGATGTAAACAAATTTGTGCACAACATTTGAGACAAATAAGCTTTTTGTGCGTATGGAACATTTCTGGGATCTTTTATTTCAGCTCATGAAACATGGGACCAACACTTTACATGGTGCGTTTATATTTTTATTCAGTGTACATTCCAATCGCAGCATCAACAAAACACTCTCTATCGTCTATCTTGTTAAGGTGTGTTGGCTGCACCCACTAATGTGCCACACCTGATCTTAATGAGTGCTTGTTTCCTTTAAATTGGTGTCTGTTTGATCAGACTAAAATGAACAGCTTTGTATGTGAAAAAAAACATGGCACGCTAGCTCCATCCTGTCACTCAGTGGACTAATTCCATGGATAGAAAACAGAATAATAGGTTTGAATCTCACTGACAACTTGTCACAATAAAAAAATGAATGTGTTTACATGATTAATGCCTAAGTAAATGAATTTCCATCTGTCCTATCTGTGCTTGAAGTTCAAAAAGGATAACCCAAAATAAGCTAGCAGCGTTATTACAAGTCTTAATGAAACATTCAGTGAAAGTTTTAAGGAAGTTATTCAAAAACCTCCAAATAACCTATAATTTCAA